TACTGCCCGTGAAATATTCAAGCGATTTTTGCCTTTTCAAAATTACATTTCATTGGCAAATACGGGAAAAAAAAATTCCCGCGAGTAATAATAAAATAATAAATTCAATCGCAATAAACACATTTTTCCAGTCTGCTTTTATTTGCCGAGAGCACTGAAAGCGTCACGCAAATTGTGTGTCATGGAGTATTTGACAATTTTCCAGGTGGAAAATGCATAATAAGGCCAAAGAGAGCGCTCTGGCTGGAGATTGAGGGCAGAATTCGTCAGCCGGAGATGTCGGAAGCTGCAACAATGTGGCTGAGGTGGTGATCAGGAGAGCTTTCATGGGGAGATGCAGCAAAGCTCCTCCTCCAGTTGCTCATCTTGCTGGGCAAACAGTGACTTGCAAATTGCGGTGATGTCGTGGCCTGAGACCATCGACGGAGCTCTAATCGCGCTGAAAATGACACCACACGACTTAACACTTGATCTGCTGGGCGCCAAGGGAGTCTCCGAAGAAGCAGAGTTAATTGAGGTCGAGCTTCGCTCGGGATTACGGCCGGCGTTGCAAGGGAAGGCAGAGCTTGTCAGCGTGGCTTTGGAGGATCTGAGCGAGAAAATCACGGCCAGGCGGCGAGATGTGCTGAAATACACAGTGAGAAATGAGTTTTGGTTCAACAATGACTTGCTAAGAGCCTCAATTTTCATCCCTGGAAATCCCACAGCGGGACTGAATCATTAGAAATTCACAATTCTCCGCCGACTCGCCTTCGTTTGGCCAACAGATCAAGTGAAGAAGAAAAGCCCCGAAAGGCAAATTGCAGATACTTCTTGAGCAACACAAAGATTTCGATGGCGAAAGTGAAGCTTTCCTGAGGCTAGAAGGAGTCTCAGAAGTCGATGCCGTGCAACAGATTCTTTCCTCTCCGTCAGAGGCACGTCTTAGCGCCTTGGCGAGCCAACAATATTCCACAGACGTGCTGTTGAAGGACAAGCAGAGATTCCTCTAGTTCGTGCTCTGCAATCGCCTCAACTTCTTCAAGGCAAGAACTTGAGTGTTTCGTAGCTGAAATTAATGCGGTCAACATCAATATTGGAGTTGCGCTTCGGGGTCAAAGGACAGTTGCTGATCGATGACATTCGTCTTGGCTAAGCACAATTTCTGCGACGAGGCGCATCTGTTCCTTGTCAAAGCCAAGACAAAGCCAAGACGGGAGAAACTGTTGAGTTTTACTGTGATAAACTCATGAAAATACTTACGTTTGCGATATTTCTCTCTGATTTGGTCAATTTAGCGGTTTTAGCTATTTATTTACAATCTTCACAATAACTTAAGGTTCAGCTTTAGTGCAATGCTTTCAATTTGAAGAGAGTTTCTACATTTAAGGAGTGTTATTTGAATTTCAATTTAACAAAATGTTTATTGTAAGTAAATCGCGAATTTTTTTTAACACAAGTGGTAAATTTTTAACACTAACGCCATTTTAATCCTTGAACGTATGACTTTAAGCAGCAAAAACTGTTTTAAACTAATATAACACATATTTAACATGTTTTGTTTGAGTGGGAATCGCTCGAATTAATTGCCAAATCGCATTTTCTTACACGTAACGCCATTCAATGATCAGGAAAATTTGCTAACTCCTCTTCATCGCCAGTGTCCATCGAACCGAGGCCATCTTGAGGCTCTTCGGCGTCTTCAGGAGCTCCCGTGGGCGCGCTGGTCGCCCGCCTTGGCGACAAGGGACCTCTCAATTGCCGTCATTGAGGTTGTCGTGCAAGTTTGGCCGGGAAGTTTGCGGTAAGTGTTCGACGGGGGAATTTATGATTTCACTTTATGCTCGGCACACAGCAACTCCTTCGCTCTGTGGGCGTCTTAAGAGGCGCTCGGCACCGTTGCGGGGGTAAATAAGCCGTGAGTTACGATGTGGTGTAAAAGCGGGAGTTGAGCGGCAATTCTTGAATTTTCCATGCTCGCTCTTTACGCCAATTATTGGATTTATTCATGAAACGGCGCCTCATGAGAGCCACTCTTGAGGTGATTTGGCGCAAAGACGATGCAAAGATGCCGGGCGAAAGGAATAATATATGTATATGCCCACATATAGTGGCTCTCGAGGGGCGGCAATTTATAATTAAAATCGCGCGAGAAATGCGGTTTTTTTTTATCCATCGTCGCGATGGCAGAAAAAAAAATTATTTCATATTACCTTCAATCACAATTTGTCGACTTTTACGACGATGAGCCACAAAATTCGAGCGAAATGTCTCAAAATCACCTCATCAGAGCCAATGACATCCATTCTAATCTAACCTTTACTGCTGCGCTCTTTCTGCCAAAAAGAACTTCACCAGCTCAATTTGTACTTCATCTCACGCATGCCGTAAAAAAAAATCTCATCGCTCCGCGATAGCGTTCAATATCTGGCGCTGCTGCAGAAGAAGCTGAAGGCGTGGGTGGGCGATTGCCCGCCGCGTGGGTGGAGTTTTGGAGCAATCCAGAGTGACGAAGAAGTGACTTCGGGGCAAATTGATAGACATATGAATTTGTTGGCGCGCAGAGAATGCTGAAAAATTGACGTAAACAAGCAATTTGGGTGGAAATTCATCATAAAATTCTCATGTGATGTCTTTTGGAAGGTGTATTTGACATAAAAAGCCGTGATATATGTCACTGAATTGGTCTTTCCCCTCAAACCACCCGCCCAAAAATGACTCAATTAATCTCAAGAGTAAATCTATTTATTTCAGGTTGCCACATCCATTGACCCAAAATTATCTCCAACTATCACACTGTTGGACCCTCTTGTATTCATTGCAGATGAATTCTGTCGCGCACCCCAAAGCGGGAAGGGCGAGAGTCACCTCTTGGGGTAGGAGACCATCACATTAACTGCCACAATATTTACATGATTCCACCCTCAAGTCCATTCACAAGCCACCCATTCGGTGAGTGCCAATAATTTTCGCACGGAACATTGCCCTCGCACCCGAGCGCACACTTCAGGTGCCACGTCGAGCCCGCAGGGGGTGAGCAGCCAAGACACAGTGCCGCGGCGAAGGGTGAGAACGAATAGAGCGTGGAATGATCGTCACTAATTTCCACCATCATTTGTCGCCTATTTGAGGGGATTTAATTCAAAGGCTGGAGGCAAAGCATTGTTATGAAAAGCACAATTTACTCATTTCTTATTCTGTTCATTTTCAAAGGGATTCTGCAGTCGGTATTATTTAAAATGTAACATTATTATCACTATGAAATGTGCTAAATTCATCTCAAATACCTTTTTTAAAAGGTTCAATACAGTGCAAATTGCTCTATAATAATTATTTTGTGAATATTTTGGTTTCAAAGTAGATTTTTATAATGTCTTCGATTGCATTTTATCCAAACAAGTTCAAAAAATCAATTTTTCTTCAGAGTTTTCATATGAAAAAAATTAAAAGACATGATAAATAATACAATTTATTCAGAATCTAACAAATTTTTAGGAAAATCTAGAAGCTATTAAGTTGAGATAAGTTAAAATATTTATTTTTTTTTAGTAATATAAATATAAAATACATAAAACGCAAGCTATGAAAAATCAACTTTTTAACAATCAATTCACAGTGTAAGGAATGACTTTTTCTTTCTGTTAAAAAGAGAGAAAAAAAAATGGTTTGGGGGAGAAAATATCTTTAATTCTGTGTTTTGCCCGGATTCGAACCGGTGATCTTTGGATTTCCAATGCAAAAGTTCCAGGAAATTCCATCGCCTCTGATTCTGTGCTCCAAGAGTTGCTCTGAAGGCTCTGAATAATTCTCTAAGCGATTGTGAATTGTGAAATCAGGTGTTCGCACACTTCCGCCGGGCAGTGTTGGTGGTAAAGAGTACGCAAATGGCGCTAAAAGATTACAGAGGTCAGAGTTGGGTTGTGAGAGCAATTGGAAAAGTTGAAAATTTATTATCATCGCTCCCCACAACTGAGGGTCAGTCCACTTCAATCCCCACGAACCCCGTCCACTCCAATTAATTACAAATTACAACAACTCCCAGGCACTAATGAGTCTCCGATGCTGTGCCAAATTTAATTCCAGCTTCGGCAATTTCAGCTCTCGTCACAAATGGATAACATAGTTGTGCACTCGTCTCACCTTCTGGTCAGTGGAAATTGCATTTGATTAGCGACCGAGATTGAATTAAAGAAACCAATCGAAAAGCCACGAATGATTGAAATTATTTGTGGACGTATAATTTCATCCCAGGCGCCGATGATGGAAATGGGAAACCCATATAATTTTCACGGTGAATTTGTAATTGAATTCGGGGAAAATTTGACGCGATGAAATTGAAAATGGGGGTGAATTTTCGCCCAAACCTTGCGATGCTGAGCGCTGACAGAGCTGTGAAATATGAAATTGCTTGATGATGAATGATTGCTATGGTCAGTTTGCTCTTTGCCCAATTGATTGATTAATTTCCTATTTGCATCCGCACACAAACGCAATGGAGTCTGGCAAAATCACTCCCTTATTTAGGCTTAAAAGAGACCCAAAATTAACCTACCTGTTCGTCGAATGCAGAACAGCCACAATCGCTGAGCAGAGCGCGCGTGGGGGTTGGAGAGCTAACGATGGAATCGAGGCCTTGTCGCATTTGCTGTGTCTCCTCTCTTGCGTGAAAAGCGAGGAAAATACAGCCACCCCCGAAACACGAGAAGGGAGGGAAAAGTTGGCGGAGGGCAGTTAGTTAATCCTCTTTATCTCGGCCTGCCTTCGTGTGCCATAAGGGTTAAGATATAAGCCATTTGCCGCCCTTAATAGGTTCGCCAGGATGTTATAAAAACAGGGAAATGCTTACCGTGACGCAGATAAACATGATTCTCGTGACCAAGTCGACATCGTTCATGTGTAGTTATGGACAAAAGGACGAGTGCCATAGATTTGCTGATTAATCATTAAGATTTCCAGGGTTTATTTGACAAAATTTATATATGTAACACGTTTATACCTTTTTTTTCTTCTTCTCTTTTCCATGTTTTGTGTCCTTTACAAAAACCCAAAATGAAGAGGTCTTTATGGAAATGAAATTCAATTATACACTCACTTTATCGAATGTCACATTTTCCTATAGTTTAAGAGAGTTTTTCATCTCGTTTTAGATTTATTAGCTTCACTTCGTTTCGCGTTTATGCGTTTACCACACAAACACATCTTAAATATTCCAAAGATTAGTTCATTTAACTATTGAGCAGTCTCTGTACAAAAAAAACCCTCCTTCTTCATCAAATTGTCTCTAAATCTCTCCGTATTTAACAAATTACATTTGCTTGATGTTCGTGCGCCTTTACGTATTAGATTCGCCAGCCGATTCCCAAGTCATAAAGGGTTCAAAATTGATTTCATGCCTGCCAAGTCTGGTGGCTAATTAAGTTGCGGCGTCTTCAGTGCGGATGCGGAGCGTCTTGTAGGACGCCTCCTTGGGCAGTGTCACTTCGCTGTTGGACGTTATCTTCGTGAGAGGCTCACCTCAGCCCTGCCTCGGGGTCTGATGTCAAAATCTCGATACATTGATGCCACTCGAGTCGGTGAGGATTTGCGGCGACATGGGTGAATTTCTGTGGTCAGGTACGAGAATTTGGTGCACAGGAGCCTGCAAGAGAGCGTCCAGGTTCTCACGTATGCAAAATATGCCATGGAGACCCATTGCGAAATCCAGTTCGAGCCTTGTGGCAAGAAGATGAATACTCAAGCACTATTCCGAAGATTAAATATCACAGCTTCGAGATGTACTCTTAAGTTCATTAGGCTTTCATTGGATCCTAAATGCCAATGTCTTACGGAAATTGAGGAATTTGAGAGAAGACAGTAATACTTTATACTCTTCAAATTAACTTCTTCGTCTCAACATTGACATGTTAGCATTTTGTGTTCACAAGTTCAGTGAAAATGTCGTATTAACCATTAAGAAGGGATAAAAACCAACGTTTTCAATACGAAAAATAGGAATTTCTGCATGCAATTCTTGCATCTCTAAACTTAGTAGGATATTTATAGACAGTTTTTCATGCCTAAATATCATAAAACAGTGCTTTTCGTCATCTGCAATAAGTTCCCCATCTTAACCAGCATGATTTTCTAATAAATCAGTCACAAAACGTTCCGATCGTTTTAATAATGAAGCCCAAAAGTGAGCTAAGTTGGCGGCAGTCGCAGTTTTTTTTTCTTTCAAAAATCTCTTCTTGCCAGGCTTTTACTGCAATCTCACTGAGTGGATCTCTGAACAGGGGATGCACAATTGGAGACTGTTGACTTACCGATTCTCTGGTGCAGACAATCGGCGGTGGAACTCTTATGTCGAGCTGCTGCTGCAATTGACAGGAGCGCAGCGGGTGCGCCTGATTCACTGGAATCCACGTGGTGGCCGATGATGATGGCGATTCGCGATACGCGACATTCACCGTTTTTCCATTAGGCGATAGCAGATTGTGTGCTAAATCTATCTGTAAAATGTGCGGTCGGCAATTCATTGATTGCAAACTCATTCGCAAAACCATTGCAGCAATTGAGAAATTGAAATTGAACCAAAAAGCTCGTCACGGAATTTGCGTGTGCGATGGTGAGTGAAAAGTTTAAGTGGACGAGTGGATAATCGTGTTGAATTAATTCCCGAGACCACGCGATTGAGGATTTGGTCACTGGCTGTTGCCAAACAGTGCACTTTCGGCGCCTTCAAAAGCTGCCACTTCTTACTAATGAAGCCACCGAATTTCGGGCCACAATTTTATGGATGCACTTGAAGCATGTAATTGAGTTTGGTACTCAAGAGAGCGCTCGATATTGACCTGATGGACAAATGGGTCTGACAAGTACGCCAGACAATTCAAAGCCACAGCCATAATTTACACAAATTTTGCGCCTTGATGCTTGTTATGTAAATTACTTCAAATTCTTTCATCTCACCACACGCACAAATTCACAAATTAAATTTTTTTTTCAATAAATTAATTCTCACAACTTTTTTCCCGTGTCGAAATACAATTAAAACACAAATTGGGCAAATCCCTTTTGAATGTCATCGGGTGGGAAATCATCATGATTGGCACATTGAATTGCAATGATATACAAAGAAAATGCAATTTCCATCCACTTAATTAATTAAAATGTCAACAGTGTGTGAAATATGTGGATTTTCCCGGCTTTCCACTCATGGCATTTCACGGCATTTCACGGCATTTCGCGTCATTTTCGCTCCAATGACAAGCGTTGATTGAATAGTCCAATGTGTGCTTATCACCTCGGCGTGCTGAAGCTAAGCCCGTGATTTCCCACCAACTTACTTGCGTGTAAATGTTCGGCTCCGCCAGTCGCATGTCCTTCTGGCGCGGGCGACCGAGTGTGGCGCTGGTGTAGATGATCTTCTGCTTCGCCTGGCCGCCGGGCGTCTGCAGCTCCGCGGCGTACGTGAGCGTCTGCAAAGGAGGGGGCGGAGCGTGAGGGTGGGCGGGGCTCCGAGGTGCACTTTGTTACCTGATTGTCGTGGCTGTAGTGCACCACCGGATGCTGCAGGATGCCACCGCCGCCGACGTCAATCTGTCCAGCGGCAAATTGCACCGGCAGGACGTTCTTGCCCATCGCCAGCGTGGCGTACTGGCGAGGCAGCGGTTGGGCGAATCGATGGAAAGCCCGTTCATCATCGAACTCTGAGTCCTCTTTGCCTGATCCCGAAGTGGAGCGACACAATAGTGAAATTGATTGATTACAAAAGGGCGCAGAATATTGGGAACAGAGCAATATGCTTTTCGGCAATATATGCTCTCTGTGCCGCAATTTTAAACCCATTTTCGAATGTTCATGATTTGAGAGTGTTTGAAGTTCCTTTCTTCCCCAAAATGTAATTTGAAAGCATTTGCAGTGATCCCAGAACTAAATGCATCAACATTAAGATCCTTGCCGTTTCGCTACGAAACTTTTCATGTGGATTCCTGAAATTCCATCACGCACTATTCAATGGCCAATGACGCCCTTCGACGGCGCCGAGCTTTTGCATAAATCCACCCCGGAATCAAACGGAAGCTCTCCGCTTCTTTTACGGCACAAAACCTTCATGGTCTGCCGGATTTGGGAAATAAAACGAAATGGGGAGAACTAATGGCTTTGTTGGGCAAAAGATGCGAAATTACAGCTGCTGAATTCACTTCGGCTCCCCCCTTTCCCACACCCCCTCTTCCAGCCATCCTTAATGCACCGAAGACGTGAATTCCGCCTCGGCATTTATCTCCTGAGGCAATTTTCATAAAAATATCGTAAAAGCTCTGTCTCCTGCAAGCGCCACAGCAGTGGATTAGAGGCATCTCAAGTGGTTCACGTACCTTGAGGTATAATATCTGGGTTTTTATCTAAACTGTCAGTGCTTCCCGTGGTGTATGAATCACCGAGCTGGAGCTGCTCTGCCGCTGGAATTGACTGACCGGATACAATTCTGCCATTTGTTGTTGTCGACATTGTCTCCTGGGACACGTTGCTCGCCTTCTTCCGCCTCCGTGTCCTCATTAGCAGCAGTGTTGCAGTTGTAATTAAGATAATGCCAAACACGAGCCCGGCCACGGCGCCCAGGAATAATTTTATGTGGAGCACAGAGCCGGTGTACGGCAGAAAGGAGTCTGCAAGAGAGCGATCACACCGCTTATTATGGGCACAATTCACGCCGAGGATTTCCTACAATCTTTTTTTTTTGCTTAGAATTCGTCCTCATCTGTTCCAAAGCCATCAGGCGTCTTGATAATGCTTCTTGCAAAGGGTTATAAGTTCTTGGCAAAATAGAGCTTTCAGACTAATTTAGGATTGTGGATATAAGGGAGTTTTCCCACCACGTTTACTAGGGATTAACTTAGCAATTTGATCTCAGCACAGATTTTCCTAGTCTTTTTTTCCACTAAATTATGGGGTTAAAATGGCTCAAATTGAAAGGCTACGATTTAATTAGTAATGATGAGCACGAATTGGCACACTAGAATGTGCTTTAATGCCTCAAAAGAGCAAAAGTTGCTCAAAAATTGACAATTTTTCACTAAATGAGCATTTTTCACAAAAAGTACAGTGCAAGGATCTCTTCTTCTTCACTTGAGCCACTCATTATCATCGGATTTCCCCGTTTCCGCAATGTGACACTGTGATCAACTGAGCAAATTGAGCAATTTAGTCGCAAAAGCAACGCTATGGTCAAACATAACCTCTAAAATATTTATGTTAGAAGCATTTATTAAATGAATAAACGTCTAAATGCATGAATATTTCTAATATATAATCAATTACTTGGGCAAAAGCGAATCCACACGAAAACAACCGCAGCTTCTGCCCTTATTTTATCGCCTCTTCGGCTTTGGCTGACACTTAATCTCGTTCCCGCGATTCGCGCACGGGTCTCAGCTTCGCCCACAAGCGGGGTTGAAGGTGAACTTCCACGGAGATTTATTGCATGTCATATTCCGATGCTGAATGGCTCGCTTTTTTCACCCCCAGAGGCGCGCGCGCCCCCGGCAAAGAGACACAACCCGCCCGTGATAAGGGATATATCACATTTAATAACACACTTTGTGCCCTCCTTTGCCACATCGTCACACGCCTTACCTGTGTGCTTCTCCGCGTTGTTGTTGAGCCGGTGAATGTGATGAACTCGCATTTCACTCGTTCCCTTCTTGTTCATGGCCGCCAGGTAGACTTCATAGCCAACTTCCGGGTCTAAGCCTTTCAATTCGAAGAATGGACTCCTGCAGGCGACAAGAATAATAAAATTACGCGACATTCTGGAGGGAAAAGTGAGCAGAAATCGCTGAGATGTGAAGAATTGTGCCATTTGATTGGGTCAGAGAGACTTTTGTACGTGCAATGAGGATAATGAAGTCATATAAAGTACTCCGTTTCTGCGATGCTAAAATACACTTAACTACATCTTTTAAAGCGAGGCAACTTTTCTGCTTTTCCTTCTGCTTCAGATTGAATTGCCATGTTTAAGGAATTAATATAATATTTTGAGCTTTCCTTCAATGCTATCCTTTTTAAATTCTCTCTTGTGGCGCAATTTGTAGCATTCCTATTCAGAGTGTAATTTATTGATATGTTTTCAGTTACACATAAGGCAGAGTGCAAGGGTTGTGGACAAAAAGATTGTGTCTCAGTGATACGCTTCGTGTTATCTAATATGATAGCAAACGATTTTGGGAGTTGAAAGGGAAGCCAAAATGTGCAATTTATCGCTCTATATCTCGAAAGCCCGTCTCGAAAGCATGCGAGCTGACTTTCCCATGTACAAGCGCGATGTGCAATTTGTCTTCCGCCACTTCCGGCGACTGGCAGAAGGAATTGTCAGCAAATTGGGTGGGTCACCCCACGAATCCCCGGCCGCACATCTCCGTCCACTTCCGCAAAAATTATCGCGCGGGTGTGCAAATGGGATAAAGTGGGTGTGTGTGCGCTGAATGTGCCACCGCGAAGACGCATTCACTTGTTAGGCGTCGCCCTCAGTATGCATTCGGCGTCGCCTGAATAATTTACTGTGATATTCATACATAATTCCCCAATGGTATCATCCCCCCAAGAGCGCGCGCGAGGGGGGGGGGGCTGAAGAAATTCCACGTAGATCCTCAAGGCTCTGCACCTCAATCTCCAGCGCGACGAGCCGCGTGACTCACTTAAAATTCCGCAAAAGTAAGCCACCAGCTAATAAATAATGTAGCCAATATTTTCATTGTATCCCAGCCGCCCATGCGAGCCTCATCGTCTCGGCCACAATTCATTCCCACACTTCTCCTCAGCGCTGGATGATTCTATTCCCCAGCGTCGAATCCTTCAGCGTGACTCTGAGGCTCATAAAATAAATCTTAATGGCAGAGAATTCCGCAAGTTCTCACACACACACACACACACAATTTGCTCAACTCCTTTCTCCGCGAGGTGGAATCAATTCCGGCTAATGTCCAGCTTCGGCAAATATTGAGTGAGTGTGAATCTCTCTCGCAAATGGGATAAATTTTAATTGGAGCGCTGGGAAAATATTTGCTCCTGATTTATTATATTGATTCAAGCCAATCGAATGAGCTCAGTGAAATTCAATTAAATAATTTTTTGCGTCTCCACACGATCAATTGAAAATTATTGCAAATCTCGCCAATAAAGCAAGCTCCGCCCACTCAAATGCCACGCCCCCAAAAGTACTTCAATACGTCTTTATTACACAATTATTTTATTTGCTTCCGATTCGTTGATGATTTCAATCTTAGAAAATATGCTCAAAATAAAATACTCAAGAATTTTGTGTGGGATTTAGAGAAAGGGTGGAAAAATGAGAGAGTAAAATATATTTTAAGTGTTAAATTTTCTCAAAAATTTAACATTTTTACAAAAATTCCCCATTTTGGTCAGAAGTTGGAATATTTAAAAATAACTCTCCGTACATTCAGGCTCCCGAATTCGCCGGCAAATCAATAAGGAGTGAAACGAGCGCACTTACTTTGAGGTCTGCGAGGCGATCAATTGGTTGGAGCGCGTCGTGTAGACCTTCACGATGAACTCCTGCGGAAGGCCGCCGTTGTAGCCCTCGATGCACTCCAGCTGGAGGGTGTCCACCGTTTGATTGAGCACCGTGCAATTGGACAGTGGATCTGGCTTTCCTGCGGAGGTGCAGAGGACACATTGTGAGAAGAAAAAATATTCCCCACCTTATTTATGGCTCTTTGCAGAGCCACGGAACTGGGCACTGCAGAGGATTGGCTCAAGGTTCGCTCCGGGAGGGCTTTTGGGGTGGTCTGGGAGGGTGAGAGGGTGGGAGAAAGGGGGAAAAAATACCTGCAGGATTTATCGTAAAAATACATGGTTCCAATTGAAAACCTAATTCATTGCTGCCCCAGCACAAAAGTGTCCCATAATCCTGCCATTTTTCCCACGCCGCCAGGATTTTCCCGGGTGGTGTTTTTTTTTTTGATGTGCAGCCATTGGCGAAGGACGCAAGGAGGAGAGAGAAAAAAAAATATTTTATTGATGTCAATTAATTCAGTGAATTATAATGGCAGATACAGCACAAAGAGGGGCGCAGATATAATTTAGAAAATCCACTCTCAGCCCCATAAATCGTCTTACCTGTTCCGTCATTGGTGTGTAATGCATAATGCTCTTGGCACGATCCACGAGAATGAGTGAGACGGGCTGATCTACATATTCAGCTGCGGAGTTATTAAACTTCCACGTGAAGTTCAAGTCGTTGGGATTTGCCTCCAATTCGCATGATATTTTCGCCAATTCGTGGCGCCCAACGCCGTACACTTGATTCTGGCCAGGACGACAAACCGGAGCGACTGGAGAATTTATTGGCGATATTGAGGAGCGTGCAAAGAAGGAAGAAATGCCATGAATTACTCGCTCAGTGCGGATTTGAATGGGTAATTTGACTTTTTTCCTACAGCAGATCCAATGAAAAGCTGCATGAATTTCTTTGGCAAGTTTCCACTCAATTATTTATTGGCTTAGAAGTTTCAATCTTAGATTTGTACTGTATTTTGAGACGTGAATGTCTTTAATTTGCACAAGAGGAAAATCATGTTGAATTATTAAGATTTTGAATAAAAACAGTTAAAAATGAATAAAATAATTCAAATTTAAATATTTACAATTATATTTAAATATACAGAAGTGAAAATTAGTTTAAGACACCACAGAAAATCAGGTAAATTTTCCTTTTGGAGCTAAAAATTCGGTATTTCTTTTAATTTTTCTTTGGAACTCGTTAAAAGAAAGTTGCAAAATATTGCAAAAATTCACAAAATCAGTAATTCAAAGAATTATTGTAATATTCACAAGAAAAATTGTCCGAATTCACTAGTAATTTGCCCCTTTTTTTACTTTGTCTTAAACATTTTCATACATTGAATGCTTCTTTATCCATTTTGATTATCTCTTGTGCAAACAAAAGACATAATTTCATCCCCCTGAGTGTCTTCAGAACATGTCAAGTGTGCTGGATTGCAGTGGAAGAGGAAGAACAATCAACTTTGCAATTCTTCTCATCTGTGACATGGTTTTTGGGACAGAAGTTTTGCCAGTCAATTAACTCTCCCTTTATTCGAAAATTTCCCCAGTCATTAGTACTTTGTCCCACATTATTGATTCACTCTCTTCTCATCTGTGCAAGAGAGAAAAAAGCTTAATTGCATCTCTGGGTGGAGCTCGGAAAGTTGGTCTCATCATCCCGAATTGCCCCTGATCGAGTTATTGGGCGACTATCGACAAGTGCTAAAGTTTAACGATTGGCTGAAAAAGGGTCCATTGACTTACATTTAATATCAAGACTGACGACGTTGCTCTCACCGTCGCCCTCCTCGTTGCTGCCAATGCAGGTGTAGGTGCCGCTCCTAGCTCTGCTCACATTCTGCAGCACCAAGCTCTGATTAGCTACAATTATGCCGCTGGCCGCATTATTGTACAGGTATTTGCCCTGTTGGAAAAATAATTGGACTCCGCTTCAGTGGTGAATTAATTGAGACATTTTGCCAATTCACAGCTGAATTGAATCACGTAAAGTGTCTGACGGAGAAGGACTGGCAATTGGACGAGAGCACAAGCTTGTATTGGCTTCTAATTAAATTTTACTCACTGTGCATTGGAAAGGCGAAAACCATTCTCTTGACTCACCCTTGACTCTATTAGTCACCTTCAGTCCGTGGCTTTTCTAAGCGTGAAATCGTTTGCGTCATTTGCAGCGCAATGTCAAACCATGTTTCCCATGTGCGAGAAAAACCACATATTTTCATTATGTTCCCGGGTGGAAAAAAAGAGAAAACATAGATGGGAGAAAAACCGAAATTCAAAGACAAATTTCAGTGTCACTTCCCGGCGCTTTGGCTCTTTGTGGTGCGACGAAGAAAAATCCAATTTAGCTTGCTCCCCAGATGCAATGCGATGCATTGTGTGGAATCTGGTGGAGAAAGGCCGTGTTTTTGCGTCCGTTTGGGAAATGCGAAAGGATAAAGGCGCGCCCGCAACAATAGTCACATTTGGCCCATTTGGCAGGTCCCAGGAGGCAACACTCAGACATCCTGTGAGCGTTCACGGCGGGAGTCGGATTGCAAAAAGCTCATGAGGCGAAAATTGGAGCTTTCTGCGAGTCCTGAGCTCGCCATTAATATCCCAACCCCGTCAGCAGGTGGATGAAATTCAACCAACTCTCCCTCTCTCTGAAATGCTGAAACTCGCCCTCGAATCCTGTCCTGGGGCATCTCAAATGTGGCCTCTTTGGAGTTGTGTTGCGTGCTCAAGAGGGCGACAAAAGGAACTTTTTCCCTTCCACGCCGGCAAAGTCGCATTTGGAGACAAAAGGAATTTTTGCAGCATCTCGAGCGGCAATTTGCCTGCATGCCACCCAAATCTTCCCGCACTTGTGATCCCCAGAGTCACTTATTCTGGTCCTCCGCCATTCAAAGTCACTGCGGATGCATGGCGAACAGGAACTCTCATTCGCTCACTGCATGACGAAGTCCCGCAGGGAAAGAGTTGCGAGTGCACTCGGAAAAACTCTGCGAGTTTTCAGTACTTGAAGTGGCAAGTTTCATGATGCTTAAGTGTATTGAAGAAAAACATGGAAATATCATGGTATTTCACAGAGTTTTGGAGTGAAAATTACAGCATTTCTTAAATAAGTGAGATTTCACGGAATTTAATTATGTTTCCTTGATGTGAATTTGTTCAAAATATTCACTATAAATTACTCAAAAACCCGCAATATCTTCTACTTGACAGGGAATTCTCAAAATTAACTCAGAATGAAAAATATGGGTCAAGAAGAAAACCGGAAAACATCTTAAAATAGAGTGTTAAAAATACAAAAACATCAGAAACACGTACATAATCATTAAAAAACCACACAAACCTCAAAATAATGCTAAAGAAAATTAAAAATAAAACATATACACATAAATAGATACCAAATAAATAAAGTGACAAAACAAACAAAACACTTCTAAGAACTTGTAAAAGCATAGCTTTTCGAAAGAATAATTGAAATTGTGTCAAATCTGGCGCGATGATCGAAACTCTGCGATTGTAATGGAAGTAATTGCCGCTAGATGTCAGAGGCATCAACTATTTCTCCTTTTGAGGGGCATTTCATCACTTCCCATCGAATTTTTCTTAGTTAAACCCTCTAAGAAGCCACATTTTCTAGGGGAACCCAAAGGGAAAGTTGCCAGAATCTTGTGCTCTCGCCCAGTGTGCAATGTTTTCCTGAGTGCATGAGTATAGGGTGCTTGTGCTGCACTTACATTGTGTCGCCAGTTGACTTTATACACCCAGGGGTTGGATTTAATGTTGCATTCGAAATACACGTCAGCACCCTCGCGTATTGTTGTTATGTTCCAATTACTTCCAAGCTCCAGGCTAACAACGGGAACATCTAATTTGGGGCGTTGCGTTGACGTGCGCACGGTTGAAACGTGTTTACAGCGTTGCGAAAGGCATTAGGAAATTAATTTCACCATTTTTTTTTCTTCCTCCTTCTTCATCTTCACATCGCACAAATAGCATAATAATTTATGGGTGGGAATTGCAATTTTAAAAATTTATTGGCAATACGGAGAAAGGAAAGGGCGAAAGTGTGCGCGGTTTTGTACTTACGATGAATATCCAATTTCCAGCCATCCTCGAGTCCTGAATCGGGTATTTGGGGTTGTTCGCCGCGACACGAGAGAAATTTACCACCATCATCAATTGTTGGGACAAAGGTTAACACGGAAATCGTGGTATTTCCGTCAGGACTGGTCTACAGAAAGAATTTATTATATTTGCTATTTGCTCTCGCTCCAAGCTCTCTCGCTGCTTGTTATTAACAATAGAATGTCTGAGCTGTTTGTTATATGTGGTGAAGGTGAGGCCATGAGGGGTGTGGGGAGCCCAGAGACCGCACCATTGAATCCCGGATCTCGCTGCGAGGGATGGGCTTGAGGTGGGCAAAAAGGCAATTAATTTTACTACACACACACACACAACATGCAAAACCATCTCTCGAGTGGCGGAGGAGCCAAAGAACCACCCTGGCGGGGGTGTTTTGGGGGTGTGGGAGGAAAAAAGGGCGAAGCGAGAGGCTTTGAACTTAGAATTTACGAATGAATATTTTTCACTTCGTCCCTCGATGACTTTTTCCGGTCGTCTTTGGGGTGGTTTCTGGGCTGGGGGTGGATAAAAGGTTCTCTCGCGCGAACACATTCCGTTGTGGGCAGAATTCGCTCCCATTGATTTATGCCATCTCTCACCGTTTCCCGGGTGTCTCTCATCGGGGTACTTCCCTTCCACCACGTCACAGTGGGGGCCGGCCTGGACCCGACCACCTCGCACCACAGCTCGTACGAATGGCCTGCAGATAATGGCCGGTTCTCACCTTGGAGCTTCACCCACAGCGGCCGCACTGTGAAAGACATTACGCCATTCAGCGCGATTCCGTGAGAAATCGCGCCATTCATCTCAGTGGCGCCGGAAGCGCGCAATTGATATTGCTAATTGCACTCCGCGTTGACTGTTTAGGAGCAAAAGCCTTTGGCGGCGAATGTGTGGATTTTAGGGACATTTTTCGTGTCGATTTGACATTCAAGACCCTTTCCATGTTCAAACCAGATACAAATTTTAATCAATTCCTGATTATGTCGCCATTTATTTAAATGTTTGATTTAAATTTTAATAAACACTCAGAACATATTAAAATTTGAAATTATTCAAATTTTTATTATTTGTTTTTTTTTTATTTATACAAAATAATAATAAGGCGCCTAATTAAATAGTGACAGTAAAAGCTGTAATTCAAAATCTTCGTGTGTTTTTATCTAATTATAATAAATTAATCTGTGCATTTTGAGCATTCTTTGACTGGAATGTATTTATTTAATTCATTATCTCAGAATGAGAAGCAAATTCTTTGTTCGCTTTAGCCATCAAAAGTATTCGTCAGTTTTTTTATAGAATTACTTTGATTCAATATTCCTAAATTCCGCATGACAAGTTCCAAGATTGAAATACCCTCGGAAATACCACAGAGAATCTGTTCAATCCTCAAACTCACCTCATTCTTCCTCAAACAGAAAGAACCTTTGGCCTTTTTTTCATCGGCTTCTTGAGTTTTTCCTCCACCCTAAAGTGTCCTTGTCAAAAGTCCTTTCAATTGGAAATGCAGAAAATGCAGAGAATTTCCCTCTATTGGTGCGGTTTGGCTGCCTTTCACTCAATTTGTTTTCAATATTTTGCCCCCCTCGATTCTTCCGCACTCACTCCATGGAAAAAAGGCGGAAAACTTGCATGAAAACACGATAGTTTTCCATCTCGTCCTTGCCTGGCGGAGACCAGTTTCAAAAGACTAAACTTTCCACCCATGAATTCAATTTCGGCGGACATTTTCTCTGCACAAACACATTGTACACGGAGTCGCGCTGGAAATATCTTTCAATTGACAATTCCAGGAATGTTTTCCGGAACATTTGGAGCAAAGTTTTATTGTTCCTCACCACCCACGCTCGTCCTTCTCGTCATCTGACGCGGCCATCAAAGAAAAATGTGCTCCTCAGAGGGATGTTCGGAGGTGAGGATTGCGTAACTTTTGAGCACTGAGTTGAAATGAAGCATCTCGGGTGAGGAATTAAGCTCTGAGAGACTCTTTTTTCATTCTCTCAGGCACAATTCAATCGAAAACTGAAGCTGAAATTATACCAAAATATGGCTGAAAAGTGAATTGTGATGTAAAATGAATTTGAGAGTCTTTTCCACCCCCGCAAGAGGCGGAAGATTAAAGCAGATTCCCAAGGGATACTCATCATGGTATCGCATCCTATTTGCTGAGTGAATTTAATTTGACCGTAAGCCTTTTATCTCTGCACATCCCGAATTTGCTTCCTTGTCCAATTTCATCCCTCCCTCACTAGAGTGGATGTTTCGTCTCGCAATTTTTGCATCATAATTGCTTAGACAAGTTTTCAGTGGCTCGCGCTGAAAGATTAAAGCAGGTGCGATGCCGAGGACATTAAGTGGGTTCCATTTCACTGCACGACAAGCATTGGCCGCTGAGGAGGAAATGCTTAATTTACCATCAGAGTTATTCTCGTGTGGGTTTCACCAAGGGGAAGATAATATGTCTTAAAACTGTACATCATTTCAGACACTTTTGATCGTTTGAAAAAGCTTTTTCCATCACTTTTTACTCTCCTTCAACTGTTTCTTGTCTTTTTTCAGTTTCAATAGGTTTAAATTCTTCAAATGTTTAGCTTTTCCAGGCCATAAGAACTTATTTGAATATTCCAGGATTTGTTTATGAACAATTTCTGTCTTGATTTTCTAGTTTTGTCTTCGGAAAATGCTTAGAAAAAATCTGACTAAATAGTGAGGTTAGAAATCTGGCTTTTAAAGTCCATTTTGACCTAATTTGAATTGTTAATTGCATTAAAATGAGTAAATACAACAAATATCATGGTTTTTCCACAAGATAATGAAGTTGAATTTGCCACTTTAATGCTCTAACCGTGAAAAACCTGAGAAAAGAGATATTTTTCTAGATTGAAATGACATTTTTGAATTAAGGATTGATTTTTAAGCTCTTCTGGCTACTTAAATTTGACAAATCTGAGGTTTTTCGAACACAAAATACTCAAATCTACTGAGAAAAAGACAAATATTCACAGTTTCAACAGAAATTTGATGATTTTGAGGGTTATTTAACCGTCAGAATATGTTTGAAACCAATTACATAACCTAGAAAAGCAATAAAATCAAGTTTTCTAAGCAAAATAATCCTTTTAAATGGCCTTTATGTGTTGAAACAGAAGTTTTTGAAAAAAAAAATATTCCACCACTTTCAATTCAAAGCCAGTACACCACATTCGACCGTATTATCTGCCCCTTGTATTTGACTCTTGAATGTGGAAACCAAAGTCATCAGCAATTGAGTTTTCGGGGCGAGCTTTCAATTAGAGCTGCGGATAAACTGCCTGACAAAGTATGCGGATGTTTAGAGGCGGAAAAAGCATCCTTGTAAATTCACAGTATTTTTGCAAGTTATAATCCTGGCTCGCATGTTCCTGACGACGGAACAGCGTGAGGAATGGAATTAATTGCGACACTGACAAAGTCCCCAAAATCCACAGCGCAATCCGCGACATTCGCGATGCTACTCACAGTTCATATCCAGCGTGATGGCGCTGGAAATTGGCGTTGTGACGTTGTTGTTGGACGCTTGACAAGTGAGAACTGTGTGCAAATGATGGCGCTGCAATTTTTCCAGATGCACCACATTCTTCACTCGCTTCTCCGTCGCTGAGAACGAGTCGTCCAACAAGGAGTTCTCCTGGAGCCACACAAGACGCGGCAGTGGACGACCTGGAAGTTGAAGATGTCACACAGACTTGTCACATCTCTTCGCGGAGAATCGCAAAGGCAGAAGTGTGGTTTTGACGGAGATTTTGCCACTGACTTTGACGAGGAATGCAAAAATTTCTGAATTCCCGACAGGACTTTCTGTTCTTTCTCTTGGCTTCACTTTGCCGAAGAGCTTCGCTAGTGGTTTATTTAGTGGTTTGATTGACATGAAAGAATGATTCAGAGGAAAAGCTCCTCGAGCTTTCAGTCACAGTACACTCGAAACTGTTGATTGTGTGCTGTTTGCCGTTTGAAAAGTCCAATTGAACTTTAAAAACATTCACTAAAACTCATTCACAACTCGCTTTGTGTACCAGAATTCATAGAATGCTTTTTTTCACACAATATTCAACTCTTTCTCGCACAATCACGCGAGTTCCTTTGCATCGCAACGTGAGTGAATTTAATAAACACAACCTTGGCAAATCCCACACTTTCCTGCGTCGTTCCATTGCTCCAATATTAATTACAACACCTTTCGTGTCACAATTGGGATTCACCCCTGAATGACACTGTCGCGAATTTCGAAATGAAAAGATATGGCATGTCAATTAAAATGGCACGATTGAAAGCTACAAAATATGCAAATTACTCTGCGTTTCCCTTCAATTTCCATTACTTTTTTCCACCATTTTCGCACCGGGACGCCAATGGATTGGCCACTTTTCCGGCGCTCTCTTTGTCTCGCATTCCGTTCGAAGTGAAGAGATGCGGAGATACTTGTGCAATTTAGCAAGAACACTGAGAAGAATGCATGGCAATTTCTTCCCATGTGAGCTTTTTACGGCAATTTTTCAATACACACGATAAAAGCAACCGTAATCCTAAATTTTCCCTTTCAGCAGTTTAAGACAGTGGCGATTTTTATTTTTAGGTGAATATACATCAGAATATTCTGAACCATTTTTATGATGAATTCTATACGTTTGGAGAAGAAAATTGCCTTCAAAGTTGGTTATATTTTCCAATATTGAATAGTAAATCCTGTGACTTTTATTTGGAATTTTTCCTAAAAGTTTTGCACACAATCTTATAATTAAACAATAAAATGAATAGGAAATATGTCCAATCACTTTACGGTAAATCTGCCGATGTTCCACGCAATACAGAAGATTTTCCCACCAGAAAGGAAAAGTTTTCCACCTAAAAGCTCATATGGCAAAAATTGCCGTGTATTTTTCTCAGTGCACAGGCAAAGTGTGGCAGCGCAAAAAGTCCTGGTTGGGGGGAAATTCATTGAAAAATTCATTTGACCCCGTTCGCGGCGGGCGGCGGGGGGCGTTTAATTAAAATTCTGTCGCCGGACTCAAGGGTGCAGCCACTCACCTCCGGTGGAAACACAGGTAAGATCCACAGAAGCGCCCTCGTTGTACGGCCCGAGGATGTAGTGGGGAATGTGATGGCCCTTCTCATCCAAAATTAACACATTTTCCGGTGGAACTGCAAGAGGGAGACAGAGAGAGAGAGAGAGTGTTGAAAGTTGCGCGTCTTTGAGAGCAAAAAAAAGAAGAAATCTCCATTGAGTGAAAAAAAAAAGTTCGCAGATTTATGAATTATGCAGTTTATCTTCTCTGCATTCAGCAAGGAATCACACTGGGAGATAAGAAACTTTTCTTCCCCAGTCTCTCCATTGGGGATTTTCATGAGAGTGCTACAGAACTGTGAGTTGATCATTTAACAAATATTTCTCATCTGTTTTGCATCTCTCAACTTACTAAAGCGTGAGAAAATACAGGCGTTTGCGAAAAGGAGTTTTTTTTCTTCCTCCCCAATTTAATCAGTTATGCAAAAGAAACATTTTCAGGACTTTCAAACTGTGTTTAATTGCTTCAGTATACGAAGTGTCTTCTTTTGATATGAAACAACTTATCCAGTTTATGTTAATTGGAAGAATTTAAAAGAAGCGCGAAACATGAGAATAAAGTGTTTCAGCTGAATGTCACGATGGAAGGGAAAATTTCCATGCCCTTCGCTCATTCTGCTACCAGAGCCACAATTTTTAACCGATTTCATCGATCTTTCGTTCTCTGCAGAGGCTATTAAATTCTCTTTAATTCATATAAAGTATCAAAAATTGTGGGATGAATAGAAATTATGTAATTTCAGTGCTACTCAGTCGTTAAACACGCTCGACTAGCGCTCTTGTGGTGTTGAATTGATAATTATCAACCTGACCTAAGCAAATATTTGATGTCACATTTGTTGTCAGCGAACGTATAATTCATTAATAAATAAAATTAATTCCTACATATATTGTGGCTTATCAGCTGATTCATTGGCTAAAATGGGCATGAAATACAACTGCGTGAAAACTACCAAAAATACCTCGCGAACACTGCGAATCGATAGTGCATAATTGCAATTTAAAATATGTCCTTGTGAATAAATGGATTAACGACATAGTCGGAAAGTGCTCTGTGAGGGTGAGAATCTATCTCAAAATTGCATTAAAGATTGCGCTGCAGAAAGTTTTCCCGAGAGCCGCAAGAGATGCACTCAAGTTTCTGTACTGGGGAAAATGCTCTTTCACTCTCTTGCATCTTGTAAATTAACAGCCAAGGAAATGTGAAAAGGGGAAATTTTCTTCGGCAAGATTGCGCTTCATTGAGTATTTCGTGCGCGAAGGCGAGATTGAATGAGAGTTGCTCGTTAAATCCCCCAACGATTTTGTGTGTAAGTTGAAAATGAGAAGGAAAAGTTTTATAAATCAATATCAATATTGCGGGCTGCACACTTTCACCACCCAAAAACCATTTAATGCCGCACTTCTTCCGCCCCATCGGGAGGCCACTAATTAAATTTCACCTTCGCACGCGGGGTGACTGATAAGGGCTGCTCGCGGCAATCACTCGAGCGTGTGTTATCAGCGGATATGTTAATGACGCGCCCTCGATTGCAGCGCGACAAAGACAGGAGGAAAAAAATGGCCAAGTTTGGTGTACTGGAAGTTTTTCCTCAATGTCGTCGGCGCTTAATTAAAGTAAACAAGCGAGATCTCAATTGCGAGTAAAAACTTTTCACCATCGCCCAAGTTTGTGGCTCGCGAAGGAAGGGCGCCGAGCCACCCTTAGAATTCATCTCAGATTAATTATGGACCGTGGACTTTTTGTCGCTCAACCGTGACATATTAGGTATGATATAAAACTAAAAGTTGCTAACGAGAGTCAAACACACACAACTTCTTCCACATTCACTACCCACTTTGGCTCTCTCCATCGGGAAAAGTAATACTTTGTGTGCCGTTTCTGCAGTCGTGAACTTTTATATACAATCAACCCCCAAAGATTTCACCACACTGAGCTTTATCGATTCCGACAGAAAGCACACTGAAGGAGCACCGCATTGTCATAATTGGTGGGATATTTTCATAAGATATCTTATGGCAATTGTAATGAGAGAAAGCAGAGATGAAAGAATCATCACAAAGCGTGTGTTTTCATATTAAAAATATCCTTCAGTAAGAATAGCTATGCAACTCTAAATTCTTGTCTTATAAGATAGGATGTCATTTTTAATTATTTGGATAAAACTATTCAAAATGTCTTTATAAACATTGAAATGAAACAGATCACATTAAATACTTTGCATTAAATACTTCGTATTTAAAGCAAAAATGAAATAATTTGTGAATTTTAAATTTTATTGTGACGTTGAATGTCAAATCTCTTACTTTATGGCGAATTATAGCACGTTCTAACTCAAATTGCCACGAAAGTTTTGGGTAAAAACTGCATTTTGTGCTATAAAATTGAAAATAAACGATGAATTTGAAAAGAAACCGTTGCAGTAACTGAAATGAGATACTCACTTATGACTGTGAGATTGACTTTGGAGTTCCTCGTGGGGCTCTTCTGGAAGTCAACGCGACACCTGTAGATGCCAGAGTCGGAGCTCCGCGTGGATTCTAAGGCTAAAATGGCAGGCTTGGTTTTGGCTTGAAAGAAGCCGCGGCCGGCAATGGAAGTGTCGTCCGACCAGTGCGAGCCGCCGTCCAAGTGCGATCCGCGGGCGTCGAAGCTGCAACAGACAAACGCCGTGAGCGCCAAATGGCGACAATTGCGCGCAGCACTTACCTATAAATTGGCGTCACGTAGCCGTCCTTGTACCAAATGACAAGTGTGATTTTGTCGTCCGGAAGCGGGGGCGTTATGTTGCATGGCAGGCGCGCCATTGATCCCTGTACTGACTCCGCCAGCGAGATGGGCACTGCAATGGAGGGAAAAAAAATGCTGAAAATTCGCCCTTCGGCCATTTCCTCTTCGCACACAATCATTTGCCATATATAATTCCGCTTTTCCCCATCATAATAGTCGCGTATTTACCTTACCCCGCTTCTCGCTTGCTCTGCGAAAACACTATGCAATTCTCCGGGCACTTTTCGCATTAATCACTTTTCATTATATATGGGGGAAAATTGTGGGGATTGTGAGAAAATTGCTGGGTTTTCATGCAGAGAAAAATCAGTGTGAGAATTGTATAATTTTTCCCAACCACACTATCATTGTCATGGCAATTTCACTCAAGGGGGAGATAATATGCCCCAAATCAGTACACCACTTCCTGACACAACGTCTATGCAGAATATTCAGCACTTCACACACTTCTGAATGCCTTTGAAGGCATATTCCAGTCATAAAACCATCTTAAAAATCCTTCTTTGACCAATTTTATTCGTCTTGAATCTGAAAATATGAGTAAATGTAGCAAATATTCGACTTAAATAATATTTTTTGAGGTTATGTTTGACTTTAAAGCTTTTTCTCAACCAATATGAAGTTTTTTTTCGAAGAAAAATGCTCAATTTTGGCAAGAAAAAGACAAATATTCACAGTTTAAATACAAATTTGATGGTTTTGACGGTTATTTAACCGTCAGAATAAGTTTGAAATCAATCACATAATCTAGAAAAGCAATAAAACTGATCTTTTAAGGACAGTAATTTAGAAAATGCTTCAATTTATTGAAACGGAAGCTTTCTCAATGCAAATATTCTAAATATTTTGCCACTTCCAATTGCAAACACTTCCGCAAAAGCTGTACACCACTTCCGACCATAATATCTGCCCCTTGGTTTCATCCACTCTTTGCCACACACAGGAGTATTGTTTTGTTTCCCTGTGACTTGGGAGAGGCAAAATGGTGTGAATCAGAGATGAAATGCAATTTGCAGAAAAGCGTCTCATTCAATTTGGCGCGATGAACGATTTGAGACCCGGTGTGTTGTTGATATGATGGGAATTTGTGCTGAATTGCACTATCGGAGAATATCAATCCCGGGGATTGCAACTTTCCGATTGCAGCATATTTTATTTACGCCAAGAGAATGCATCTTGACTGTGATTCACTCCGGAACTCTTCCGATTCGTGTGCAATCTATTCTCTGCTCAGAAATGCAATTCACCATGTCATTCTTCATTCATTGATACTTCATTCCCTGCAGGAGTTGCACCGATTGGGTGAGTTGAGCAAATCAATTTCCACGTTTTCCACATCGAGTGCCTGGTGTTGTTTCTCGTGCACTGACAAATTTTGGGGTTGAAGTGGCACAGATTGTCTGGCAGTCTTTGCCAGCGAACAGCCACTTGTGCTCAGCTTTTGTGCTGAACTTATGTGGGAAATTCACACAGTTTTCACTACGAATTTAGCTCGTGTGAAATCTATTAATTAACCATTGAGTTTGAGTGTCAGAAGCACTTTTCTGTGTCTTTGCAGTCTGACTTCATACACAGAAATCACTGTTCTAGTTAATATTATCAAAATTAACAAGAATTGAAGTGAATCTACACAGAGAGAGAAACGTACTAATATTCAGTACAACGTATAATTAAATACCTTAACTTAAATATAATAAAACGCAAATGTGCTATAATAAAAAAAAACAGTATTATCTTTAAAGACATTTCATCCGATAATTTTTTTTCAATGTTTTCCTTGAGAGATTGAGGAAAAATGTAAAAACGCCACAATTTTGAGACTTTTGGCGCGTAATACCATTGAATTCTGTTGGAAATTTTCTTTTTCTCTGAACTATCTTTAGGATTGTCCTTCAGAAACAGAAAATTCTTTTATAATATTGCAACATAAATCTACTTTCAAAGACTTTTCTTGGTAGTTTTGCTTGAGAAATGCAGAAACACTACGAGTGAACTCAATATACTTGTCTTGAAAACTTCTTAAAGATTTTGCGGGGTCTAAACTTTGAATCAATTTGTACTTCGCCATTATAATATGTGTAGTTAATCTCATACATCTTGGTTTCGTCTTTTTCGAGTATACTTTTGATTTCTCAGAGATTTATTACGAATTCCAGAAGCTTTTTGAAGCATTATTTATTATCCGTTAATTGTAAATGAAATTATTAAAAGTAAATGTCAGATTCAATCAAGAGATCTTCCTCTCAAATATCACACTTAAGCTTATTGAGTTTTCTTAAGAAAAATCCTTCTTCCTTTCTTTCAACAAGTCGGTGAATAACAGAACTTTAAGCTTTGTCTCCAAAAATACACCCAAGTTGCTTAATTACAAGTGTTATGCAAGGCGTTCATTGCTTCTTCGAGCAATTAAGGTGTAAAGCCGATTTCCATTGCCTGGGAAAATGGGAATTTTCTTCCATGGGGCATGATTAAAATGTTGAGTGTATAGTTGTAAATGCTCTTATACCTTGTGCACCAATTAGGGCGCCTTCTGGCCGGGGTGTGGGGTAAAATGTTACAAATTGGATTTCACGAATTGGTCACACATTTCTCCAGGCAGGGCTTTTCCAGCGCCGCCACTTCGGATATTCAATTTCACACGCCGATTCACCTTATTTGTTTTAATACTCATTTGCGTGTGCTCACATGCAGAGCCTCTCGGGTTAACCCTTAAGCCTTCTCCACGGGGTTGCGATTATCAATCCACCCGCTGAACTTTGGGGTTTCACAAGTGCACACAAATATTTTCCATTTCCCACCCATATTAATTGGATGACTGCGTTGCCCAGCGCGAGATGGTTTTTTTCTTTCTTTCTTTCTTACACAACAACAACAGCCACGAAATTATATTGTCACGCATTAATAATATTCCCGGGAAACGCAGAGGAATTTGATGAAGTGAAATTTCTGCTTAACACATCGACAGAGAAGATTATGACAGAAGAAACTTTTGCCCCGGGGAAAATTCCCTCGGAATTGCACGTGTGGCGCTGAGATGGAAAGAAATGAAAATTACTTGCATGGTGGAAAGTTTTGGGAAGTTTGTGACTGTGTAAAGTTTGGTAAATTCTTCAGTATATGTCTCGAAGCCATGGGCGATATTGCATTCTCAGAGAGAGAGTGAAACAGATGAAATTTCAGGAGCTTTTGAGAGCTCGACAGAGCAAATCAATGGCAAAAAAAAGAGTTAAATTAGCGCAGTAGTCAAGAGCTTTGTTTCTGCATTTTCACCCCCACCCTGGACTTTGGGAGACACGCGAAGCTTCTTATGGATAATATTTGCGTTGCGGGAGAAAGATAAGAAAAAGGCAACACGGGGTGTTTTCAGTCAATTAAGACATATCTCGCTCACGATGTCTCATTTTCGCGTCTGGTGCGGAAGGCGAAGCGGAAGGCGTTGGCGTGAGAACTTGCATGTTGCTCCGCTGATGCGATAAAAGTGCTGCGGGGTTGCAAATTGCAACATTTCCCACCCATTTTCCATCCCATTTTATTTTATTTATTTCATTACGCCGAGGCCATCGTCAGGAAGACGAAGTGAGGCAATTTATCTGTTGAATCGACTCACAATGGCTCGTGGTGAGATTTACCACTTAAATTTTACGACGTCTTCATTAAAAATGCTGTGTGTGTGTGTGTGTGCGGGAAATTTAAGGGCTCTGCAATATGGCCTCGAAATTGCCCAACTTCTAAAGTCTCTTCTTTGGCCATTTCAACGGCCACTTCGAGGAGATTTCTCTCCGTCCACCCAGAATCAAATGCCTCCAAGGCTGAGAGGGAAGTTTCTGAGGAATTTCAGCTGCTTCGTGTTGATTTCTCGTCGCCATTTGATAACCTCACAACATCACCAGGCAAATATATCGCAATTGTAGCACTAATAATCTAATAAATAACCAATTTTGCCAACACAAATTCCATTCAACCAGACGGAAATTCATGGATTTCAACCTAATTAATTTCCATTATTCCAATATTTGCCGGTGCATTTGACGCGAAACACGATCTTTAAACGCAAGATGGTTTAGCATCTCAAAATATTTGCATGACTGTCTTCAAACACCTGTTGGAAGGTGTTTCGGGGGAAAATTCCCATGAAAACGCCTCGCATTTCACTTGTTTACCTCAATAACATTTTCAGAGAATATCTTAAAATAGAGAGCATCAATTCACGATGGTTACAATTTGGTCGCTGCTCTGGAAATTCCTCCATGGCAATGCTTTGTGGCGAACGTGGGATGAAAATTGTTTTCAGCTGTTATGATATTATTTTCAGATACATTTAATGCTGTTTCTCTCTGATGAGAATGCGAAACGAAGTGTTAAATACTGAAAGTATTCTATTTTCAGCGCATTTTCCATTACCTTAAGTGCCTTATACTCATTAATGATGTCATGGTAAAATTTGTATTAAATTGAATTTCATTACATGTTGGCTCAAGGGGGAGATAATGTAGTCAGAAGTGATGTACAAGTCAGCAGGAGTCTTGGAAAGTGTTCAAAAACTTACAAATCATTCCCTATTCATTGAATTTCTTTTGATTTTTAAGCAGAAACAATCACAATAATCTTTTTCTAGGTTATGTAAAGAATGCAAAGCAGTTTTTGTGAGACAAATTCGCATTCTAGCACATCAATTTTTATGCTCAAGTGCATTTTCTTGCAGAAAACATTATGCTGTTCTGAGCTTGACATCAAAGGATGTCAAGAAATACTGAAAATTGCGATCAGTTCGAATATAACCTCAAAAATTGTTATTTGGCTCTTTTCTAGACCAGAGAAATGTCTGTAAGGACAACTTCCTGGGCGATTTTGGGACTGAATGACCAATTTTGAGTTCATTGGCAAATCATAACCAAACGATTTTGTGATCTAGAAAGCTTCCAAAGATTTTTTTTAATGATATTTTTAGGTTATGATTGAAACAAATGCTCAAAAAGATCGATTTTCAGTGAATTCTTACAGAAATATCGGATGAAAACTTAAGAGATTTACTATTGTTTGTGAATTTATGCACACTAAGTCTTAAAATTTGAAGTTCTAGAAATGTAAGGCAAATTATCTCCCCCTTGTGTTTGCTGTGAGCTTTTACTGAACTTCTTTACCTCAAATTTATAATCATTCCCAGCAGGATTCGGAAATAACTTCTCAGAAAGTCTCATTAACGCAGCATAATTACACTGGCTCAACTTTGAATCGAAAGACCTTCGAAGCAAACTTATCGTTCTATCGCTTGATGGAATAATTTTTGCAGAGACACGCGAGAGTCGACAGGATGTTAAACTTTGTCCAGAGGCGTTTCTTTTCCTGGGAATTGTGCCACATTCTGTGCAGAAGAGCCTTTAAGGACTCTTCCGCTCAAGTGACACAATTCTGCGGCACAGAATTCGTCATTTGGCGAACGGCGATGGTAATTAACACGCAAGAAATGACCATAAGCACGTCCACCACAGCGGTTCACCACTTCCGTCCAAAACCTGTTGGACAGCAAACCAAGGAATGCCCGAAATCTCCACAAACTCCTCGGAATGCATAAAGTCCCGGAGTTAATTCAGCCCAGCAAACAATTGTTTGAGAATGCAACAAATTTAGTGATTTTAATTAACAACTGTTGCTTCAAATAAACATTCGCATATTCGACCGAAATGTCAAGTTTGCAAATGCAGTGAAACTTTTAATTACACTCACAGAAGATGGAGAAAGTTTTGGGCAAAAATGAAGCACATGTTATGATCATCAGAGAAGAGGGACAAATATTTGACTTGACAGTGAATTACGGTTCCAGAAGAGTCTTTCATACAGCAAAATTTGCTGCATAAAGGCAAATGAGAGGCGACATGAAGGGTTGAAGCTTGATTATGTTCACCACAAAATTGCAATTAAGTGTGTGAATAGGATGTTTGACCTGCAACTGACATTTTCACACTCTCCTTTATATGCTGCGAATGCTCTGTGAAGGATAATTTCTATTTAGGACATTAAACTACACCGCGTTATTCATGCAATTCATAGCTCTCGGAAGCTCAAAAAGGCTTTAGAAAAAAATTGCAAAGGGGGAGAGATTATGGTCAGATGTGGTGTACAGATAAGTTGAAATGGAAGTGTTTCAATTCATCTAATATTTCGTTCACAGTTTTGGTTTTCTCTTGACTATTTTACTCTCAGCAATTAATTTTTATCCAAGTCCGCATTTTGACATATTTTTCTAGGTTATGTGATTAATTTAAGACTAAATAATATCATAAAGTAGTAATTCTTACGTCTAAATTGAAGATTTTTTCTCCTTTTTAGTAGAATTACGTATTTTATCTCATTGACAATCATAATTTTAGATAAACAATGCTGAAAGTCAAACATAACCTCAGTTTTTAAAATAAACGGTTGAAATTTTGAGTTAAAAATAAAAAGATAATTAGTTAAAGGATTATGATCAAGAAAAATAAGCAAAAGCACAATTTTATCGGGAGAAAATCATAAATTATTGTGTGAAAACATGAGTTGAAAAGTTAGATTTGAGTTATTGGTTGATTTTATAGTTGGTTTAAACAATCTATGCAGTCTGAAGTCCTGAAAAATGTCGAAGATTTTCCATACAAATCGTGAAAATGTCAGAAAGTGGTGTACAAATTTAAGCCATATTATCTTCCCCATGATAAATTGTTTCCAAAACTTGTATTTAGTGTGAATTTATTCTTTGAATCGAATTAGATCACATTTATCCTATTTTCTCTGCAACACTGAATGAAGTTTGAGCAACTCAAAATTCTCAGAACTTCCCTTCATAGATTCCTTTTGAAGTGTCTTCGCAACAGCTTAAGTAACTCAAGCGAGATCTTGAGCACTTCTGACTGCATTTCGCTGAAAAAGCCGAACACGTTGCCAGGCAAATCACGCGGCGAAGTATTTTCCATTCAATTAATTAACCCGTTCAGCATGATTGCGGAATGCTAAGTCACTCAAAGTGAAGCTGCAATTTCTCAATCAATCACCCAGCAAGCTCTTGGCCGAGGGGGTGGGCTTTTCTTGCAACCCTTTCGCCCGGCCGGATGGATTTATGATTACGGCAATGGCACCGTGATAGATCGCAATGATTTCACATGGGGAGTTTCTCAAGAGGATTTTGTCTCCGGGGGTAAAGTTTTTTTTTTTCTTCTTCTTCTGCTTGTGCTTTATTTTATTCGCCCAGAGAAATGAGACACATTCGCCCAGTGCCGGGGTGAAGATGGGACTTTTATAAGACGATGGCATTCTCAAGTGCCACAGCTTCTTCCCTATCATCTCAGAATGTGCTGAAGAGTGGGCGGTGGGCCAGACACACACACACACACAGACACACACGATGACCAGAGGCGATGTTCGTGAGGATGGCGAAAGACGGAGGGCAAAAAAAAATGGATAACAAAATGCCTGGGAAGGATTTTTCCTACCATTTTCTCCTTCTATAGTTTTTACGATGGATGCTGGTGATGCGAGAATTAATAGTTTTGGGAGAAGAAGAGCACATGTCCACAACCAGCCACTATAATTCATTTTGCTGATGTTGAGGATGACGATGGTGGTTTCTTTACACTTTTATGATAGAACCAAGAACACTCACAGCACATTTTCCTCCACTCTGCACCATCTTCACCACCAACAGAAATTCACGCTTCTGCCTTCACTGTGTGTAATTTCTTATGCCGCTCAATTCACAGAAATGCACGCCGAGTGAAGAAAGTCACCCAAGCACGACAGGACATGCTGTCAAGTTCTCAAAACACACTCTCAAAGCTCTCGACCAAAGTGCCTGTGTTGAAGCGCCGAAGAGCACGATTGACCGCGTCTGCGAAGCGTTCGACATTTACTAACTTCACAGAAACGGAGCTGAAAGTGTGCGAAGGGCAGTTTGCTGTACTCTCGCACAAGTGCGTGCTCTGTGTGGATCGAGGGGTGGAAGGAAGGCGCTTTCCACACTATGCAGCGCGTGCGCCGCGCGGGGAAGTGCGTGGAAGTTGTGGAACGCGAAGGGGAAGCGCCAAACCCTTCGCCCAGCCATTATCGCCAGCGCCAGCTCATACATTATGTACAGGCGTTAAGGGAGGGGGAGAGAGAGTGGGTTTCCACTAATGACAAATCGCATTGATAGTGATGAGTTTGAGATTTTTCGGAGAAAACTCGCAAGTGGAAATGCAAGGCAAATCACAGAAGATTCAGTTTTATGAACATATATTGTTCTTAATGCAGTGAAAATTATGCGGTGAAGAAGAAAAGACCATTGTTGAACAGAAGAACACATTGGCTTTTATTCTTAAATGGACAAGAGAAGTATTGAAAAGTTTAAAACAGCTTTTGGAATTAAAATTTCATCAAAATCAGCACTTGTATTATAAAGAGATTTAAAATTCTGCTTCACAAATGTGTTAAATTATTTTGTAACGCCTAAATGCGGAATTTTAAGCAAAATAAATGCGTTTGTAATAACAAAAATTAAAAATTGTTAAGCGGATGAGTTCATTTTTGTGCCAAAATTCATGATAAATTTTACAAATTGCTCAATAATTCTGTCTTTCCCATAAAATAGGGCAATTTAAGTGTGATTTCATTGCAGAGATTGTTTAAATGAATGTGTCAAAAACAGAGTGACAGATGGATAAATCCGTCACTGTTACTTTAATTTTTAAGCAATAACATGACAGATATTTTCAGTGAATTCTTCTTGTCATAGATTTACTAAATGTTTCCCTGTATTTTAACAATTTTGGCAAATTTCACTATTTTGCTTCATTTACAGCTGTTTTAGCAAGAATAGAAAGTATGTTTTATTTTACTTATTACGAATGTAAAACTTTTTGATGTTTGAAGTTTAACATTCCTCAGTTTTCATGAGAATCATTCCAATTATTTGTTTTATTTTACAAATGATAAAAAGTGAAAAAATATCGACGCAAGAGGGAGATAATGTAGCTAAAATATGTACATCAAAAATTCCTAAACACTTCTCCGAAACATTCCTTCAAAAAAAAAAAAACGATTAATGAGGGAAATATGCCGATAATTTTGATTTTACGACTGAAAATCAACCAAAAACTAACCAAAATCTAACTCACAATTTTATAACTTAACTTATCACTGATTTTTCTAATGATTTTCTCTATCAAAGCCTTCTCTAGTCTCTGAAAAATCTTAACTGGACACTTTTAAGGTTCCAGAAACACTTCAAATTGCGCTTTTGAAGCACTTTTCCAAACCAAAACTATGTCCATAAGTAAGTGGAAGAAAAGCCACAAATCAATGCTAATTGGATGAATCTCCTTAATTGAATTGACCACCAAAATTGTGAGTCCGAGAGAAGAAACCCTTTTCTGTCGCTCAATGCAAATACCACTGATTTGTGGGGCACTTTAGAAAATTTGTTTATTTGCCTCCTTGAGTGCTCCTTGCGTGGCTCTCAAGATGTGCCTCCACATGTCTCTGAGTAAATCACCACCTCATTTAAAATGGACAAATGGTATCCCTGTGGGACGGTCAATAAATAATGCGCCTCGTCGCTTGGCCGGCGCATGCTGAATTATGAAAATTCTCATATGCATCGCAAGAAATATCGCGCGTGGAAACTTCCTCAATTTGCCTTAATGAAATAAATAATCCAAATATGGTCCGATTATGCAGATGTGACAGATAAATAAACTGTCCTCCGCTCTTCTTCTTCTGCATCTCTCTGAAGAAAAGAGGAAGAAAAAAAATCGGGGAGGAAAATAAGACGACGCCACAAGTTTTGTGATGATTTATCGAGAGTCTGGCGATTTGCCTATATAGAAAAGCGCGTCCAAGTGGGTGGTTTAATGCTGCGAAAATGTGCCTCCATCTCTGGCCTTTTTGCCATCAACTCTTGGCACTCACTGTACAAATGCATTTAGCAATAAAAGATGCATTTTAGCACTTTTGTGAGAACATTATTCGTATATGTAGACAGCAATTTTATTTCCTCTGGCCTTTCACACCCAGAAATTTATTTATTAGAAGACTTTTCACTCCGCACCTCAAAGAGAAAGTTATTCAGCACACAGACGGAACAATGAAGACACAACATCGCGCCCGTTTGCTCCCTTTTGAGCCATTTTACAAGACTTTCAGTCTAAATGAAATTACATGTCGAATTAATGTAAAATTATTCAGTTTCTCTGCGAATTTGTGCTCACAGTGGCACATATTGTATTTCAATATATGAATTACAATTGGTGGTAGAAATTTGAATTATCACTCATTTGCATTGCATCTCATGTGAAATACATTTCGGAGAAATGCCGCGCGTCAAAAAACTATCGCCCTCCTCGACGGGGTGCGATAGTTTTTCCACCCCAAGCGACTCTCATGGCATTTGATGGTGAGCCAAAATGACAGTGTAGACAAATATTTGCAATATCCCACCATTGTTCCGCACTAGCGAAGGAATTTTCCCTGGCTTTTTCATCCCCGCTCTCTCTCGCCGCACCAGAAAATCCTCTGTGTGCGCTCGGGAGAAAGAGAGTTTTGGGTGTGTTTTTCCGTGTTGAAATCTCTTGGCAGATAGCAAGTGTGTTGTCTGAATAATGAATGAGTGGAAAAACAGTTTGGAGTAAAAGAAGCATTTTGAGTGATTTCCCATTCTGACTCCACTTCGCCCACTTCCCATCAATTATTCTTAAGAAGTGCATCGCAAATTTCTTTTGTGGCTTGCATTGCAGCAAAATGCCGAGCATTTCCAGTTATTTTATTCATCACTAGGGATGGAATTTCGCAATCACACTCACTGGTGAGGAGAATGAAGAATTGAGAGCAACGCATTTTGTACCGTCAAAATAGGCAAATCTTGAAATCTTGATATCTTGATGGTTTGTGTCTCCGCTAAATCTCTCAAGACTGCGTAAAAGGAGAAGATAATTTGTATGAAACATCTTTAACATCCCAGAAAAATTAAAACAGACCAATATTTGATTAAAATCAGCGATATTCCGGGAATTATTCTATTAACTTTTATTTACCGACTGAAAATCAACTGAAAACTTACCAAAATTTAACCCACAACTTCAAAACTGAGTTTTTAATAATGATTTTCTTCCTCTAATTGTACTTTTGAGTATCTTTTTCAATGAATCTTCATTAGAATTCTTGAATTTAGTAATATTTTTTCATCACTCAGTTTGCAGAATCATGATTTTAATTTGAAAAATGCTTTAGTTGGGAATAAATAAGCTTCAACATTGGATGCTTTTGGACATTATTCGGTGCTTGAAAGCCTCAATCAAACTTATTTATTCCGATACTCAGATTAATCTTATCTCCGAGGCTCAAATTCCTGACTAATGATTGACCTGAATTCCGGAGGCGATGCCAATAATCGGACTAAAAACGGCTCCTGAGACAGCCTGGCAAGCTGGAGATGGTCTTTATAATTACACTCCAGCTCCTCTGCCCGCATATCGAAGTGATTGCTTGGCAGAGGAGCATTGTGGCCTGAATTTCCCCCCCCCCAAACGGAAGTGTTGAGACACTTTCATTTGGCGTGAGAAAGCGGGTCTGAAATGTGATTGATATAATTTCACATATGGAAGTGAGTGAGATCGTATCCATCAAGCGCGCGAGAGTGTGAGTGCGAAGCTCTTGTTTAGTCCGCATAATAGGCATTCTCACTCTCGGGCTCCATTTGTAAAGCTCCGTCTGAGCTTTGATATTCCACAGCTCCCCGAATCGAGTGATATGTGTGATGTCTTCATCATCATCAACTCATCCCCCATTCGCTCGGCGGCCGGCAACACCGGAACCCCAACATTTCTCGAGGCCCCACGCGTGGCAGAAAAAAAATACGTATAGCATTTCTATGTCATTCGCATTTGTCTTTCACAGTGTTTTGACATTGAAGAATAAATTGCCCCAACTATAATGGAGCCTTTTTGGGTGGCGATGCCAAAGAGAGTGAGAGAGATTCGAATCCCGATGAATCACTATCAATAATGGCGAAGCATATTCTCCGTGTGTATCCACATTTTTATTTATTGACGTTCTCTGATAAATCTCAAAATGATTCAAATGCCATATTTTTTTTCGTCCGCCACCGCCCCTTCGAATGCCACCCCTGCTGATTTATATATTTGGACAAGTCCTCAGAGCGCGCCGAATATAATCGAGAGGCGCATCAACTTTGCCATGCTCAAAAATTCTTCAGACGCCCAACAAAGGCTCTTGTCAGGCCCTCGCCAGGCCATTTCTCCACGGATATAACAAATGATGAGGTGAAACACTTGAAGAAAGCCACACACACAGCATATCAACATTTGCTCACGACTCTCTGCGTCTCCGCCTCTCAAGCATCGGCTTTTATTGATTAAAATAAAGCGCAATGCCTCCACGAAGCACTCAATATCTTCATCCCCTGCCATTGCTCAATATTATTATAAATATACAGCATAATGATATGCATAGTGAAGGCGAGCAGAAGAGGGAGAAAAGTTCTTGTCAGATTTATGACCGCAATATAAGATGTAATAAATTCTCAAAATTCTTTCTTCAATCTCCGCTTTAGCATACACATTCGCCCCTCTATCATGTGCAGGATGCTGTACATAATATTCAGGCTCTGACTTCAATCTCCACGCAATATTAAAGTCACACGCGATTTGCATTGTGACGTGCGATATTGAGAACGCTAGCGAAATCCTATATTTCCACTGAACACTTTTTATTGTATTCTCGATTACTATTGTTTGGCACAAATGAGAAAGAATGTGGCAAACGCCAGTAAAGCTACGATTTGAGACTGATTTGTTCTTCTGTTGGAGCTTTTCTTCGCAGAAAAGGCGCCAAAAGTCGCTGATCTTCAACTGTGTTTCCGCCGGTTAAAATGCTGGTCAAATATCCAACGCTGATGCCTATGAATAGTCCAATTAAATTGTAATACACGAAAGAGATTCGGAACAGCCAGAAAATGTCTTCTTGATCACTTGAAGATTGAGGAAAACTTGTGATCGTTGAGTTCAGAGAATCAGTGCAACCGTCGGTTCGGAAAGGAAGAGTTGGTTCGGGTTTGCTGTTTAAGCTTCCAATAATCAGAATCAGAACACTCAGAATGGCAGTCAAAGCTCCAGCTTGTGCACCCTGGAAAGATTCCTTGCTTAATAATCTCAAAACACCTTAAACCACATTTCTTACCGAACTATTGGCTTTAGAAAAAAGCGCACCAAGAATGAAGAGAGTAAGAAGAGCCGCAGCATTCAGAGTCATACATTGAAGTGTCATTTGCGCAATCATTCCCATTTTCTCAATAAAGAATACCAAGAAAATCTGAAGAATTCCCAGAATCATGACAATAATCTTCATCGTTCTGTTGGCGATATTTTGATTGATGTCTGGACGCCAATTGATGATGAAATCTTCAAAGATAATTCCGCTCATGGCGTTTAAATACGAAGAAGTTGTTGACAAACTTGCAGCAAAAACGCCAGCAATAAAGATTCCGTTGAAACCCAGAAACAGAGACGCTTTTTCTTGGATGAAATGCGGTAGAATTTGATCAACACTTCTTATAATTCCTGCTTTCACCGGATCGCAGGTTTCGTAGTTAGCGTACATTATAACGCCTAACGTTTGACAGACGAGCATTATAAACCCAAATACGGAAGCTTGAATCCAAGCTGATATTCTCATCTTTCTTTGACTTGGTAATGAGAGAAATCTCTGCAAGTTTGCCTGATTGAGTCCAAATTGATAAGTGGCAACCAATGGTAAGGACACAAGATATCCAGTAAAGGAGCTTCTGGAATTCAAGTCCATGTTCGCAATGACAATTCTTCCTCCGCGTTCGGCGGCCGCGAAGACGTTTCCGATTCCTCCGACGGCTCGGATCCCGATCGCGGCCACGACGACGCACGACGCGATCATGAGCAAGAGTTGCACGACGTCCGTCCAGAGCACGGCCTTGAATCCGCCGATCGCGGTGTAAGAAGCGCACAGCAGCGAAAGCGTCGCGACGGTGACGTAAGTGTCGACGCCAGTGACTCTCTGGAAGGTCAAGGCCGGAACGTAGACAGTCACAGGCAAGAAGAGAAGCCCAGTGAAGAGGAAGATGAAACTTGCAAGAAGTCTCACTCGGCGATTGAAGCGCAGTTCGAAGTATTTGAAGCTCGAAGTCAGTTTGAGTTCCGTAAAGATCGGCAGGAAAATCGGCGGAACTATCAAAGCCATAGCGTTTATGGTTATTGCGTACATCCAAGTGTGTGTTCCATAAGTATAAGCTTCAGCAGAGAGGCCAATGATTCCAGATCCAGTAACTGATGTGGCTATTAGCGAGCAAACAACCGGAAAAATGCTCATATTTCTGCCTCCAAGAAGATAATCGTCGACTGTCGAAGCGGTTTTGCGTGATTTGAAGGCATAATAAAGACCGATCGCGGCGGAAACAAAGAACACAATCACGAAGAAGGAATAATCCAAAAGACTAAAGTGACTTTTATCCATAACTTCCATCATCTTGCGCTTCAGATCCGTTCTGATGCGCTGCTAAATTGGCACTGCGTGGCAACAATTAGAAGATTATTATGTGACACTTCAGAGATGGTTTTGTGTTGCGCTATAATAATTATTACAGGAAAGTGGAGCATTTTGGGATTCCCTGTTAGGTTAAAAAAAAAGTTTGATTGTAATATAAAAATATGACGCTCTTAATGTGCCAGTTTTTTCACGTGATATTTTATATATTTTCCAGTCTTTTGCGTATTTAACATGCGTATTAAGTTACATAATAGTTACGCTTAGCTTAAATAGAAAATAAGGTGGAAAACGCCAGAAAAGCTACGATTTGAGACTGATTTGTTCTTCTGTTGGAGCTTTTCTTCGCAGAAAAGGTGCCAAAAGTCGCTGATCTTCAACTGTATTTCCGCCGGTTAAAATGCTTGTCAAATATCCAACGCTGATGCCCAAAAACGTTCCTATGAAGCAGTAGTAAATGAAGGGAATTTGAAGCAGACTGAAAATGTCTTCTTGATCACTTGAAGACGGAGGAAAACTTGCGATCGTTGAGTTCAAAGCGTTCATCAGAGAATCAGTGCAACCGTCGGTTCGGAAAGGAAGAGTTGGTTCGGGTTTGTTGTTGATGCTTCCAAAAATCAGAGTCAGAACGCTCAGAATGGCAGTCAAAGCTCCAGCTTGAGCGCCCTGGAAAGAATTACAAATTAGTATCCTCATTTTCCTATATTAAATACTAAAATCTTACGGAATTGTTGGCTTTAGAAAAAAGTGCACCAAGAACAAACAGCGTAAGAAGAGCCGCAGCGTTCAGAGCCATGCATTGAAGTGTCATTTGCGCAATCATTCCCATTTTCTCAATAAAGAATACCAAGAAAATCTGAAGAATTCCCAGAATCATGACAATTATCTTCATCGTTCTGTTGGCGATATTTTGACTCTTCGTTGGACGCCAATTACTGATGAAATCTTCATAAATAATTCCGCTCATGGCGTTCAAATACGAAGAAGTTGTTGACAAACTTGCAGCAAAAACGCCAGCAATGAAGATTCCGTTAAATCCTTGGAATAAGGACGCCTTCTCTTGGATGAAATGCGGTAGAATTTGATCAACACTTCTTATAATTCCAGCTTTCACCGGATCGCAGGTTTCGTAGTTAGCGTACATTATAACGCCTAACGTTTGAGAAATAAGTACAACTAAACCGAATACTAAAGCTTGCATCCAAGCCGATATTTTCATCTTCCTTTGGCTTGGTAATGAGAGAAATCTCTGCAAGTTGGCTTGATTGAGTCCAAATTGATAAGTGGCAACCAATGTTACGGACACAAGATATCCAGTAAAGGAGCTTCTGGAATTCAAGTCCATGTTCGCAATGACGATTCTTCCTCCGCGATCGGCGGCCGCGAAGACGTTTCCGATTCCTCCGACGGCTCGGATCCCGATCGCGGCCACGACGACGCACGACGCGATCATGAGCAAGAGTTGCACGACGTCCGTCCAGAGCACGGCCTTGAATCCGCCGATCGCGGTGTAAGAAGCGCACAGCAGCGAAAGCGTCGCGACGGTGACGTAAGTGTCGACGCCAGTGACTCTCTGGAAGGTCAAGGCCGGAACGTAGACAGTCAGTGGAAGGAAAATAATTCCAGTGAAGAGGAAGATCGAGCTTGCAAGAAGTCTCACTCGGCGATTGAAGCGCAGTTCGAAGTATTTGAAGCTCGAAGTCAGTTTGAGTTCCGTGAAAATGGGCAGGAAAATCGGCGGAACTATCAAAGCCATAGCGTTTATGGTCACTGCGTACATCCAAGTGTGACTTCCATATGCGTAAGTTTCCGCTGGAAGACCTACAATCGTTGTTCCGCTCACAGTAGTTGCAATTAGCGAGCAAATCACCGGGAAAAGTCCCATATTTCTGCCTCCAAGAAGATAATCGTCGATTGTCGAAGAGGTTTTGCTAGATTTGAAGGCATAATAAAGACCGATCGCGGCGGAAACGAAGAACACAATCACAAAGAAAGAATAATCCAAGAGAGTGAATTGACTTTTGTCCACAACTTCCATCATTTTGAACTTCTGATCCGTTCCGAGGCGTTGCGAAATTGACACTGAGTGTCAGCAATTGGAAAAACATTTTATAAAACTTCACGGTTTTGTGTTGTGATATAATTATGATTACTCGAAAAACGAGCTCTTTTTGCTCATCATTCGGAAAGGAAAGGTTGATTAGCAGTTTCACAATCTTATGACCTTTTTGGTGATTTTGAATTAAAAAATATTATTGGAATTCACAACGATTGAATTCAGCCAAACTCTCCTATCATTGGGCTTTATATAAAAAAAGCGTGTAATTTTGATATAAAAATATAACACTCAGAATGTGCCATGTTATTTGCACATGATATTTTTTTATATTTTCCACACTTATGCGTACTTGACATGCGTATTAAGTTACATAGAGTCTATTTGTAAATCCACACGTGAAAGCTTCACATGATCACAATAATAATGTTTATTTTTCACTACAATCAATTGTGGTGAATTTTTCTAGCATCATCGCTTTGTTTTGTATTCTGTAATTAGTTACGAATGTGCGGCATTTATTTGCATTGTCGCACACGGGAAATTATATAGAAGAAAAAGATGCTTTTCTCAGCTGTCTTGGGCTATTGTAGTAATTTGTAAAGTCAATCGTTCTCTCATTTACCTCAGCTTCATGGGGAAAATTCATAAGGAAGAAATCCCTGGAAATTGTCATTCTTCAGCGCTTCTCGTGCTGAATTTTGCCAAGGATATTTCTGCACACCGCAAAGAATCCTCAAATCGCGCTCTCGCGACGTGGAATTTGAGCTGTGCACGGTAAGACAAACATGATGCACATGAGCAACAATATTTGCAACATTTCACCAGACGGTTATTTATCATATATAAAAAATAATGCAGCCAAAGAGCAGATGTTGCCCAATGAATTTTTATTACGGGGAAAATCCTCTGCTGCTGCCGAGAATCGACTCGACTCCTCTCTGACCCAAGCAAGGAGCTCTCGAGAAGCGCCCAAGAAGTTTGGGTGCGGGTGAGGAAATGGGCGGGAAATCCTCCAGTGTTGTCGCAACACAGGACAAAAAAAGGCGAAGAGGGTTGGGGGGAAACACAGGGCGAAAAAGCGCTGATTCTTGTGGAAGTGGAACATTTTGTGACAGAGGAAAAATGCTTCATATTACATACGTTCATCAGTGTGGACATTGAATCGACATTTTCTTCCTCTGAATTAGATAAATTTAATATCAATTCCCAACTGTCCTCTGTTCACATCCTGTCCACGGGAAAATACAATTACAAAGAGGCGGTTTCGAGTTACTCAAAATGCGATTTTCCACTGTATCTCCCCGCTTTCCACCCCACCCAGCCAACGGCTCTCAGTCGATGGCTTGTGAGCTTTTTCTCAATAATCTCACACACTCGCACACACACACACACACACACACACACACCATTTCCGGACGAATGGAGGGAATTTTCAAACTATAAATTATTGCAATGTTTCACATATAATTTTGGCAAATATAATAAATTTTATTTCTCTTCATTTTTACGACTCCATATCCTCCAGCATCGGGCCCTCGAAAGTATTAAATTTTCAGTGGGTTTTTTTTTCTCCGCCGGCCGCAAAACTGGGAAAGAGTTGAGCCAACATTTTTCGGGCGCATGTTTCACTGGGTGGAGAAGAACATCTCTCTCTCTCTCTCTTTCTCCAGCAACGACGGAGAGTTATTTTAATGGGATTCATGGGTATAACCGATAAATATCAATTTTATGGACCTTATTAGGCACTATTTTCACATGCACTTCACCCTGTGTTGGGCAGATTTCTTAACATTTCAATCTTGACACTGTTTCTTGCGTGGCAAAGAAGGATTTTATTTAAAAAGGATAAACAAAAACTGTGTAATGAAAGCTCAATTTGTGCTTTATATCTTCATAATATATGAATATACACATTTTTCTCCACAAATTACCGCCAGAGGGCAGCAGTTAAAACATCAAAGGTATGTAGAAATTCCGATTCTATCTCGTCCTGTGGTTAGAGTTTGAATCCAGCTTGTGGCAAATTTTCTGAAATTATTTATAATTTTTTTTTAATATCGTGCCGAAAATACTCAATTTTTGGTTATTTCGCAATTTCTATGTGGAAAATATTTATTTTTCTTCATATTTTCAGTCATCTAACGCTTTTCATACTAAAAACACTTATAAATGTGCTGTTTCTCAACGGATTTCCAAGAGTAAGGGCATTTTGGAAAGAGGAAAAGATAGCCTACAACTGTTTAGAACTTATCACTTGCGACAGATCACTCCTTCACTATAAATTTTTACACGGTGAAATCAAGTGTAAATTACATTCTTTACCACGCAAGGACACAACTTAGCTCCACTCTAAAGCGCACACACAGCGCTCCTTGCTGGAAGTTTGTGGCCAATATAAGGATAAAAAGTGACACTTCAGCTATTGATGATTGTTGATTCTTCAGCTCTAATAATCACGTTATGGCAAATTATATCCTGGATTGTGTCAGTGCCAAGCTTTCGGGATTCCGTGTGGCACTTTCTCATGAATCAATGCTGCAATAAGCAAATATTTGCACACGAGCTCCGGGGGTATTATGTGGTGCAGACGGAGGAAAAATGATCAGGAAGAGAGAGAGAGAGAGAGAGAGCATCGATAAGAACCACTTGTATGCGGTTTGAGCTGGGAAAACCCATGCGATGAGTTCCGCAGATCATCGCAATCCCGCTCTCCCAGCGCCACCCGTCCGAAAGGGGGTGGTGGTGTATATAGGAATGATAAATATTTACATGGACGGGTGGATGGCGAAGGAGCAGCGCAGGAAGTTTGGGGTGAGAGCAAATTTCCTCCACGTTCTTCACTCGTCTTTTCCCACTTCGTGGCCCTTTTTTCCATGACGCGCACAAGGAGGAAAAGTCGAGTTTCACGAAGAATCACGTTCTCCCTTCATTTTACACCATTTCTCCGCCACCCTCGGGGCACAGCTCAGCCCCAGCCCCGCCGTGACATGCCCAGCATCTCAAGTTCCTCCGCCACTTGTGCGAACTGGTCACAATGCGCGTCATCTATGCACTGTTCTGACGCGATGAAAGGGTGGCTTGACGTCGCCGGGGCCAAAGAAAGCCACAAGCTGAGTGGAAATATCATTGGATCCGGAGAAATAACATTCAACACCAAGTCAAGGGAGAGATTTTCCGCCCGAATGTGGTGTACAGCGCGTAAGAAGTACGTGAAATTCTTAATTGCACAGAGAGAAATGAATATTCCTGAAATTAAAGTTAAAAAACGTCTTGAAATTAGCCTGAATCTAGAGAATTTCAAGCTTTTCAATCGTCATAAATTTATGTTTTCAACATTTCCTTGACTCGAGACAGTTTTCACATAAAATTAATATCTTTTTCGGTATAATTCCAAGTCTTTAAGGATATTTAAATGAAAAATAAATTCTTTTTCAGAGTTTCTTTTTCAATTCTGTTCTTTTCTTGAAATTAGCAACGACTAGAATTCAATATATATATACCACAAAATTCTCAATTAAATTAAGTCTTTTTGAAAATGAATTGAAATGATTTTATTACGGAATAAAACTTAAAATGCATGCAATTTTTAGTAGAATAAAAGCTCACAGAAATAAACACGAAAAGGAGAAGCTTTTAATTAACTATCATTTTACTTAATTCCACTTCACTCAATTCAGCATTGGCTCAATTTTGGGGTGGAAATTGAAGCTTAGCGTGTTTATTGTTCAAAAATCAGGCAATAATAAAATTTTCCCGCAATTGTTCAGAAATTTGCGAAAGCACAAAAATCACTGGAGTCTAAATTGTCTGAATGAGTCGTGATAATCACTTTAATCTGCAATATGGCATAAATAGTTGGAAAATCCTCGCGTGTCGACTGGCTTTTTTCGCGCGCACGCGAAAAACCCAAAATGAAAGGCATTAATTGTATAAAACCAGAATTATTTGGGTGTGTAATGCCAAAGAGGGGGTGGAATTTTATACTAATTGTTAAACACTGTGCCCGAGTTGTATGACAATCTACAACAAATTGTCCGTAATGTTGAGGCCGAAAATGGTCAGATGGGGGAGATTTTCAGTGAAAATTGGGTGAAATATGTTTAATAAAATTGTCAGAAAATCACTTTTGTCGACTGAGTGTGGGTGAAATGTATGGCAGAAGTGGGGATAAATTGAGGGTGGTTTTTTTTTTTGAGAATTTTCCTTTCTGCAGAAATTGTCACATTGAATATTTTCATTCCAGAGGATATTGAATTTTTGTCTTCTGCCTCGTGCCTCTGTGTTCTCATTTTATTAAATAACACTGTGAGTAAATTGCATTTACGATGCTCTAGGAGCTTTTTTTTTGCGCACTCAAACCCCAAAGTTTCGGGGCGGGATTGTCCATCGCGCGCCTCGGCATCCTAAACTTCGCACAGGACAGTGGAAAATTTATTCTATTCCCCACTTTATGGGCGCATGCAGAAAAAAAAAAACGGAATGGCAGAGCGGCAACGGAGGATGACAAGGACGAAAAAAAAGGAGAGAGAGAGCAACATCAACCACTCAACGCGTTTACCAATTTATTTAAAGTTTATCCGCATGACGGGTTACATCCAAGCATCAACTCGGCGAATGTAGCTGAAATGTTTATTGCAGCATTACTCAAATGCCACGGAATGAATGCGATGGGGAGGCCAGTTAGTTTACTGCTTGCTGACGTGCAGATGCAAAATGCGGGCGCAGTGGGTGGTGGGCGCTAATGCCGCGTGATGGTAAAATGTTGTTGCGTCAATCTAATAAACGACCTCCGCCATGGCGACTTCTTTTCAGCACACACACTTCATCCATGCATCACCTTCGCTTCACTTTTGATCCCCCTCGAAAAGCATCCGGTTCGACGAGCCAGATTGCTGGCAATTTTACTGCTGGAATTGATCAAAAATCACTTTGGCGTAATGATAATTGGGCCAAGTGTGCGAAAATCAGCTTGAAACATCTGCAAAACAATCTCTGCCGGCCATGAGGACTAATGGTAGTAATTGATATTGCAATCAGCTCGAGACATCTGTGGTCTCGTTGGGGATTTTCCACCGCATAAATTGATAATCACAGCCAGATGAAAATTGATCCTACGTGCGTTATCATCTAATGTATCAGCTCTCACAGTCCCATTGTGGGAATATGCAATTAAGATTAAATAATGGCAGAGTGAGCTTTAATTAAATAGTTGTCCGCAAAACGCAAAAATCAATAGCGTCCGAAAGCGCTGCTTCGAGGGGGTGGAATTTTCGGGAGGGGGGGGGGTGGCGCAAGTCTTTATGGGTGTCGTGGAACATAAAAGAGAAATCCAAAAGTGGATAAAATCCAATTTGATGGTGTAAGTGGCGAGGATGGGACGATATCTTCCTCTTAACTGTTCGGATTCCGCTCTCACTTCCTCGTCCTGCGCCAATAAACCCCGCACAAGCAATCGCAGAGCATTGAAACCATAACATAGATATTGACCTTTGATGAGTTCGTGGTGGAGGCGAAGGTGGAAAAGAAATTTGTGAGCATGAACTTTGGCCGCCCCTCAATAGACCCGCGCGCCGCCAAAGTTTATTGGAAAGTATTCTGTTTGAGAAACTTTTTCCCAACCACATCGCGAACTTTGTAATTTAAATATTATAGACCTTCCACATTACAACACACATTTCCACCCTGATTACGACAGCGTCCAAAAGGAGGGTGGAATTTCAATTCTTGTCGTGAACTCCAAACTCGACCAAATCGCCACGAATCGTCGAGATGAGGAATTTGACTTTCAAATTAATGATTGCCCAGCAAAGTTTCCATCAATAAATGCTCCTGTTTTCAGTTCATTAGCGAAACCCGCGCTAACTCTATGGCATAATTAGTTTATGTGAAGTCCCAAGGGTTGAAAGAAGCGGTAAAGAACCTTAGAAATCACGGAGAAAATGAATTCATAGTCGTTTTGTACTTCTTCTGCAGAAACTTCACATTAAGAATCCGCGTCGAATACAAAAGACGCTTTCCATTTGATATTAGAAATCATGATTTTGATTTTTATTTTTCTACAGACATCAATAATTTTGTCTAAAGAATTTGACATTTTGCTTCGAAGTTTCTCAATACAGAAGAATTGCATTAAAATGGGCGGAGCTTGCGAATGGGCGGAGCTTAGGGAATTTATGCTTGACAGAGATTCTCTGCAACATCCGATGTTTTAAGACTGAAATGCAAATTCATGGAAATTGACGTATTTTCATTACGCTTTTCCTGATAACTCGGAATAAATCATACTCAAACGACTCTCGGAAGCCATCCATATTCAATGCTTATTCATGAACTGGCAAAATCCATCGCTAAGTCTTCACCCATCGTCAGAATTTTGCCATTGTTAATGTAAGAAGCATCCCGATAGTGCATAAAGCATGAATTTGACTAGTAAAATATTCCCTTTCTCACCACAATCAAACTTCTGCTCAGCTTGAGCAAGTTATGACGTTCCTGTGGGAACTTTTTCCTACTTGATGTGCGGCTTCGCCTCACAGATTTTCTCCCAATCTTCGCCGGGGTGATTTTCATTCGATAGCGCAAGCACAATAAATCAGTGGCTTTTCGAACTTTCACTCCTTTCCGCGCACTCTGTGGCGGCGAGAAGAAGAAAAAAAGAAGAGCGAGAGTCGGTCAGGAGAAATGTGGTGAGGAGTTGAGATAAAAGGACTGCCTGATGGTGAAGAATTAATGGAAGAAGGATGAAGCAGCACTAAATTGTGCGATTTCCCTTTTGGCGGCGCATTTTATAAACAACAACACAAAATCGTGATCGTGAGATCATTTTCCGTATTTGGATTAACCCTCGCTTTTTCTCTCTTCTTTTTATAATCCCGACACTCTTGCCCGCCACACTCGTGATTGCTGTGAGTTTGTGTGGCAGAAAGAAATCCATTTCACTGATAAAGTCGACTTCATTCCGACTGCAAAACCCCAAAAGAGTCGCTCACACTGAGCAAATACTCGCATTGCCACTCATGATGTATTGATAAATAAATGTGTACACATCTGTATTTATTAAGGGCGAGAAGGGAGATAGTCTGTGATGAGAAAAAAGAGTGATGATTCAATTTCTTGATTAAATAAATTCTCCAAATGGAGCAAATCTGTTATTCTTGTCCTGTCGCAACGCCGCTTTAGGGGCGCAAATTCACTTGTTTATACCGAAGCGCTTCAATATCATTATTAACTTTCACGGAAATAGACAGCCAATGAATATTCACATGAAATATACTCCAAAAAACCTACACATCACGCTTAACAGAGTCACTCATCTTGTGACTAATGTGTTCTTTCGCGCAGAATTTTCATAAACAAACAATTTGGCGGCATTCATAAAGCCCCAAAGCGATGTTTTTTTTTCTCCCTCTCGCGGTATCTTGAAAATAATTTTTCAACCACCCATCAATAAATATTCCCCAGCCAATGAATAAAATCATATCACTTGTGCCAAGAAGTGTGCGACAGGGCGAAAAAAAATCGATTGGTTGTATGAAAAATCCTTGCAAACATCCCAGGCAAATCGAGAGCGCGCCTGAAGAGAAATCACGGATCATTAATCACTCTAGGACACGCGAAATATCGTAAAATGCAAATTATTGACAACAATTTTCACTGGGGAACTTTTCAAAACAAAATATCGCGCGTCGTGAAATGTTTAATTTTGATTAATCGCCCTTGATTGAGAGGCACATTTCGCCGCCTCTGGGAAATGCTCGAGAGCCAAATCCAATTTGGGTCTGGACAGGGTGCAAATGAGGGGGGTTTTTCACCAGGACGGGATAAAGAGATAAAGTCCCAAAATGGCGAAATTGAGTTTTCCCAGCCGTGAAGAGGAAACATTCCCACGCACTTTCTTAAGAGGGATTCTTAGTGTTTTCCTGCAATGCCCACGCGATGTGAAATTACATTTTACAGGAAGCGACAAAGGACTTTTCTCAGCATCATCGGTAAATTGTCTATTTTGGTGATGTCAAATGTGAGCTTTTAGGTAAAAATCGGGTTAGAATTCATTCGATTTCTGCGTATATCCAAGAATAATCAGGTATGACAACTGATTAGCAAAGATTTTCGTCTTGATATTTAACGGAAGAGACTAAAATCAAGATTATCCGACTTAAGATTGTCCTAAATCATTCAATTCATTTACTTCTGGCAAAGAAATTCAAGGGAGTAGAATAAATTCAGATCTTAAAATTAGCTTCTTTCGGGCTGGAAAACAATCAAGACTTTTCATTTCTTGACTTTAGTCACGATTTTTTCAGTTTCAGTCTTAAAAACTCAGTAATTTTCCGGTGGTACAAAACATTGGAAAACTTGTTTCTTTTTTCTTTGACACAAAGATCTAAATTTAAGAAAAGTTCCTTTCTTGTAAGAATGCGAAAACAGTCTCGTTTCAAGGAAAAATCGAAAAGATTAATTTATAACGATCGAAAAGCTTAAAATTGTCTAGATTTCGGTTAATTTCAAGACCGTTTCTGGACATTTATTTCAAAAAAACTCATTTCTTGTCTCAAGAACAAATTATTTCTTTGAGTGAAGAGATCAAAAGATGTCAAGGCATCGACATTTGTTTTGAATATGTTCGATTTTCTAATAATTTTCCAAAGAGGGAAACACAAAAGCTGCGTAATGTTTTATCCTATTCACTGGTTGTTTTAATTCCCCAGTGAGTTTTGTCAATATTTGCTCTTATAATGTCAAAAATAATTGATTATTTTTGCTAATGAGTGTTTTTGCAACATTGAACATCATGAAAAATAACTCATGTTTCTGCCTCACTCCATTTGAGTTCAATCGATTGGGCTATTGGCCAATAATTCCAGCAATGCTCACATGAGATTCATGTACAAAACAATGTTAAAATAGCACAAAATTCATGCATGTAATGACAATGCATCTGCAAACGGATTGTAGACCAAAAATCCAATAACACAGGCAAACAAGGCAATTAAATATTTTACAATAAATACCATTAACACCACATACACAGTATAATCAGTCGTTATTGCGTTGGATATTTACCGTGCTGAAGGAAAATTAATTATCTCGCTGGCTCCGCTCTGCGGTAAACTGGCAAACTTCATCTATCGCCCAGAGTTATCCCGCGATTTCACATTGTGCTAAGTGGTCAGTTGGGTGGCCGCGTGGAAGCTTCTCCGCGGAAAATCTGACGCCATCAGGGAAATGGTTTAATGCTCGCAACCTAATTATCAGCGGGGCTCCGATGAAAGTTCAATAAGGGTCACTGGGTGAATTTTCGCACCACGATGGTGGGAAAAATAATGAGATATTTATTCAGGTATGACATTCCTCTGGGATGCATGATGGATGAGCGCCAATATCGCATTAAAACCCCGTGAATAATGATGTGCAGGGGCTGAATTGGGGAGGAAAGCGTCAGAATAGCAAGACTTTTGCTGGTCGAATGGGCGGGGCTTCCGAAGGGGCGGGGCTTCTGCAAACAATTTCCTCCGCTCTGATCAGTTATGATTTGAGTTTCATAACTCCGTGAACTATTATTAAATGCGAATTCATTGCGGTTCTCTTGAATTGCACTGCAAACTCTCTATCTTTACCTCAGGCTTTGGATTGTTCGGCACTCACCCTTCGCTTTGCCATCGTCCCTGTCCATTGCTTGCCATATCAATGATGAGCGATGCTAGAGACAATGGCTGAGTCCTTGTGCAATTGCCATGGATGCAGATTGAAGGAGCGAAAGGGATGCTCTCGAGAATGGAATCCAATATTTGATTTGGTGGTTTCATTTTCATATCAATAAACTTGTTTGTGGCTTTCGATATGAGATGTTCAGTGTCGCTTCACCCTCTATTCCACTTCAAGGGGAAGATAATATGCTCGTTAATCTGTACACCACTTCTAGCACTTAAAATTTTTAGACTGTTTCTACAATAATTCACAAATTGTTATAAGAATTCACTGAAAATCGTTTTTTTGAGCGTCTATTCTGATCATAACCTCAAAAATAACACGATGATTTTTTAAAAGACTCCAATTAAAAGCTTTTTAGATGATAAAATTATCTTTTATGAGTTGCCACTAAACACTAAATTGCTGATTCAGAGTCACAATCGTGCAGAATGCGTTTAAAAAGAACATTTTCCCAGTTTAAATTCCTCTTTTCGAGGTTATGTTTGATTTAACATTCAACATAACATAAGAATTGATGTGCTAGAATGCGAAATACTCACAAAATCCGTCCGGGAAAAGATTATTTCTGTATACAATTCAAAGGAAATCCAAAGAATCTGGATGATTAGTCAGTAAAAGAAGCACACAAGAAGCGAAGATTGTAAGTTTTTTCAACACTTCCACTTCTAATGTACTTCTTATGAGCCGTACACCACTTCTCACACTATATTTTCTCCCCCTTGTTCCACTCGTCTCTTTGAAATCCTGCACAGTTACGCAGGAAGTGGTGTGTGATTGCTCTAGGAAAAATCAATTTTCATTATCCAACACCATCTGAATGGTCACGTAATTCAATCTCTATTTTAAAAAAGAGCAGTTTAGAGGGTTTGTTTGTCACAGCGCATCAACTTTTAATGGCAAAACCACTTATTCCAATGACCTCTAACCTCTTGCCCTCCGCCAAGACGCTTGGACGTGAATAGTTTTTGCCCACCAGCGCAAAACTATGAGATTGAGGTGAAATAGAGTTTTAGCTGTGTGGGAAAATTTAATTAGCAAGTAATTTTTATCTCGTGCGGTTTCTAGGGGAAATTGTGGGAATTTTAAATAATTATCCGTGACAGAAAAAGTTTTAGATCATTAAGCGTGGAAAATTATATAAGATTTTCTCTCTCTTCCGCTAGAAAAAAACACACCCACACACACACACATTCTTGGGTGAAGTAATGCAGAAAACTTTTGGAATTCATGGATTACAATGGGAAATTCAGCCACAGTGCATTCTTACGGTTTTCCCCGCATTTTGGGGTGGCAAATCGCCCAACGAACAATTCCTGGAGTCTTCGCCGCACAAACAGTTTAATGTTGTGCCCGTGCTGGAATCGTTGCAACATAGCAGAGGATATTGTGCATATTTTATAACTGGGGGAGGGCGAAGGAGGGTGAAAAAAAATGGGCAAAAAGTTGAATTCACAGAGAGTCTCAGCATGAAGCTTCCCCATTTTTATCTCACATGCTTTAGTGTGCGGCATTTTTTGCATTTTCCTCAGCTATTCATTTGCTTCCAATTAAATGCTACAACTTCAAACCACATCAAAACTCTATGAAACTTTGTTTTTTTCATCGCAGCCATGACGTCCTGATGGAAAATGCAGAGAATTGTGCGGTGAATAAGTGTTTTTTTTTTTTTGGGCGACAGCGAAAGTGGGTGGATGTTTTTAAAGAAAATTCTGCACTCAGATGATTTTCACACTGAAGTTTGCGTTATAAATATATTTCAGACAATGATTGCTTGGCACACTTTCGAGTTGCAACAAAGGTGAAACTCTGATTTGTCATCAATCAGAATATAAAATCTTGCATCAAGGGGGAGATATTGTAGATCGATGAGTAAAATGATTCAATATTTGCATATGATTTAACAGAAAGGATTTTTAATTTTATTCAATTTATGTTGCAGACAAATTCATCAAAAGTAATTTTCTAGGTTATTTTTTTAGTAATTAAAGTAAGATTTAGTAAGCAAATAACCTCCAAAAACATAATTTTTGAAAAATTTCCAGAAGATTGTTTGAAAGCAGTTTTTATTGAAAATATTGATCGATAACTTTCCAAAGTTGTCAAATATACTTCCAGGCTGATAAAATTAAGATTGTCTACATATAAATGCAAATTTATCACTAATTTTTTTTTACATTTTCAGTATAAACTCTGGCTGGTTATATCAGAAGTTCTCAGTGATTTCTTCTAAGACTTTCGTAAGACGATCAAGGATGTATTTAAATTCTAGAAAAGCTGCCTTGCACATAAGCTCATAACTTCCTTCTCTTCCTAATGTCCACTGAGGAAAATTCCCTTTAAGGTTTTTATTCTGGAAATTCAACCAAGCATGGCATGTTTGAAAGCCGCTCGTCGCACTCAAAGAAACCCCCGTGAAAACTCCCCCGACTCGCCATGTGAAGGGTTTGTGCGGTGAGTCGCTTTCTTCTCGATCGGATGGGTCATATTGATTTATTCCCTTGATGTTTGTCTTGTATGCTGTGCTGGTTTCCTCAATAAAAAGCATGCAAGTGCTTTTTATGTGGCCGACCAGACCAACCCCTTCGTGTTGTGCGCCATTGAGCGAGTGGTGGCACTCAAATTTGCTGATGTATCCGCCATCAACACATATTGCGAGCGAGAGAGAGTGTCAAATATTTTCAGCATCCGCTGCCATGCATCTCTCGATGGGCATCTCATGGTTTTGCCCATTCACGGGGTGGAACAATGGCCACCATCTGAAATTTAGTTTATGTTTTTATGCCCTTGTTCTTCGCCTTCACATGATTGTGCCATTCTGTTGGGCACCAATGGCGCGAACAGCGCCCGAGCATCATCCACACTATCAGTCACGTTTTATGCTCATATGGCACGAATCCACTCGGATTTCATACTGTTTCCCTATAGCGCAAACAAGCCTTTTGTCACCACGTACTTCAGCCAAGGGGGAGATAGTGCGACTGAAATCATAACTTTCACAATTTGTGGGCGGAATAGAGTTGAATTCCACTTCGTTACGACAGAAAACTGTAGAAAAATTCAGAATAAGATTTTTTTCCTAATTCAAAATGCTATTTTTGAGGTTATGTTCGACTTTCAAAATGGTTTTAGTACTAAAACTAAATCAGATTACAGCGTTGACTGTTTATTTCATACTTTTAAGGGTTAGAATCCCACAAATTTGCTTGTCTCCTGACCAGGATCACATCAGGAAGTGCTGAAATGCTATATGAATGGCGTTCCCCACGCCAACTTAGCTGCCCTCTGGTGGTCTATATGTGCAGAAAATAATCAAATATGTAATTTTTAATTATTTATTTAGAAAATACTTCATTTATGTAAATATTTCGCTGAAAATATTCAATTTTTGATTAAAATAATCATTTTTTATTGAAGTTATTTTGGTACATTTTTACACTTCTTCCGTAACATTTCCCCCTTTGGATTTTGCCATTAACTTAATGTAATTTCATGCGCGAGCTTTGCCAACGCCAAATGAACTCACTTGTTAATCCCATAATAATTGTAATTGAAATTCAAAGGTGTGCTATAAAAGTGTCAGCACGCGTATGAATTTACAATAAAAATTCCTCTCGTCGCGCAGTGCTTTTAGCAAAAGCACGAACTGTAAATTATCGTTGGGTGAAAAAAGTGTCCGAGAAAGTTTTTTCCACGCTATTTAGCCCTATTATTTCTACGCTCGAGACTCGCTAAATATCTTGGGCTGTCCAAATAAAACAATTACACTGCGGAAGGCGTCAATTATGGAAGGGGGGGCGGCGGCGGGAGAAAAGTTTTCGCAACTGCCGGTTGCCATAATGACGGGGAATTCACTTCGCATATCATCGCTCAAAAATTATGGCGCAAGCAAAAGTGGGTGACGTCTCATACTTCGCGCGCTCTGAGACTCTCCAACATTTGTTATTGTGTACTTCCTTCTCTCTTGTGCCACAATGCAGAGGCGAGCAATAGATCATATTTATGAATGTGTGTATACGCGTGAGTGGCGCCTAAAAGGAATGCGATATCGCGCTGAGAGAGTTGGGCAGAAAAAAGAGCGCGCCAAGGATATTTGACACCCCTTTTGCCGTCGCGTCACCAAATCCCATCCAACTGGAATGATGTTTTCGACAGAGTGGCAAGTTGTCTCTCCCTCTGGGTGTAAAATGGGGAAACACACGACTATAAAGTGTTAGCATTGCCTCTATCGCGATTGAAAGTGCCCTCAGTGCGACTGTTTTTCTGGCTGATTTCCGTTGAGCGCGATGCCATAACGGCCATTCGCGCTAATATTGGAGGAGATTCAATCGCGTCAAAAACATGCTTTATTTAAATTGAATGTCTTCTCGTGCCATTCAAGTGCTGCCATTTGTCGCCCGTGCAAACAGAAGGAAAAACCATCTCTTTTCTTCGTCCCATCGAGAACTTTGACGGTCTTTTTGCCATCTTCTTCTTTGCCCAACTCGGAAAACGGCCCAAAAGGCAACTCTCGCGTCATAAAATGTTTTGTTCGCAACTCTTCACTCACTCTCGCGACGCTGTTCGCTCTTTAAACGCTTAACTCATCGCATACGCTTGAGCATAAAACGGGCACAACAAACAAAGTCATTTCACTCCTTCGTCGATCCTTTTCATAATTCTCTGCCCCTTGTATATTTACTGCCAACTTTATCAATGCGTCACGCCGTGAGAGCTTCTTCAGCACAAAAGTGGCCAATTTATAAGCTCTCAGTGAAAGGCGCTGAGATAATGGATGTCTCAGGCATTAAGGACATTGCTGAAGAGTGCTCAAGGTAGACTTTGGAGGGAAATGCCGAGAGACTCGTCACGCGAATATTGTGAAGAATGGCAAATGGCTTTCTCGCCGCTGATTAAGAGTCGCACAGTGAAATCATAAGCGGAAAGCAATGTTGCGATAACTGGTGACAAAGAGTATTTCTGCATATCACAAAGGGCAGATATTATGGTTGGCAGTGGTGTACAACTTCACGGAAGTGTTTAGGAATTGGAAATGGTAAAATATATCGAATATATTGAACAAATTGAGGCATTTTCAGACAGTTTAAAGTTCTTAAGACGGAAAATCTGGATTACATTTGTGATAAATCCAGAAATTTGTGTAGGAAACAATTGAAGAAGTCTAAGAAATGCCTTCAAATACGTTTGGAAGTGGTGTACAGATTTGTGGCATATTATCTCCCCCTTGGCATATCACAATTTGGTCCAGCGGAGAAATAATTATGCGTAGTGTCGAAATGCTTTCAGTGAAACACAGTCAACTATCCGTGTCATCAACTGAGGAGGAGATCTCAAGCGTCACCACAACAAGTGATGATGAAGATCAAGTTCAAAAGCTCGATCAGCAGCGAAGCTTTGACGAACAACCTGCAATTGAGTCTGTATCTGTAGAAACTTGCTCGAACATTAGTGAAAATCCACCAAATCAGCAAGACATTAACACCGACAATAGTAAATATCGTGAAATTCAAGTACATTCTGTCCAACAACTTTATTAATGGCTTCTTTTCAGCTGCAGAAACGCCAAGATTCCACAAAGTCAGAGGATGTATTCTTCTAGCTTCAGCCCTAATCATTGTGATGGTAGGAATTCTCGCCGTGACCTCACTTCTACCTCCTCCTGAGCAGCCTGGCTCTGGCAACACAACTCTCAGGTTGATTTCCCGTGCAGAATGGAGGGCTAAACCACCGAAGATGCAATTGAAAGACTTACAACTGCCAGCAAAGCGGATTATTATCGCACACACGGACACACCTGAATGTGAAACTATGGTGAGAATAACATTAGGAACAGCGCAAGAGTAATTAGAGTTAAATGGAAGCTGTTATGGGTCGTTTTGAGCTTATATAAAGCTGATAATTGGATTACTTTTCTTAAAATCCGTTAATTCATTCTCTGTTTTTAAAATTCTATGAGAATCTTTCCAAGAGATTCTCAGCTTTGATAGCCAAAGGGAAGTTAATATATAATGAATTTCTGTAAGAATCCACTCTAAAACCGCTTTTTTGAGTATATTTTTCGATCATAACCTAAAAATATCACTAAAATCTCTTTAAAAACTCGCTTTAGAATATCTTAAAGCTTTCTAGATCACAAATCGACTGTTATGATTTAAAAATGAACTCAAAATTGGTGGTTTAGAGGCACAATCTACCAGAAAATATTCTAAATAATTGAATATTTTTGAGGTTATGTTTGATCGTAGCACAATTTGCAGTGTTTCTTGGCATCAAATGTGTAGAATATCAATCTTTATTGCATGAAAGTGTCTAAATCTACCAATGACCAGCGTTCTTGTCGATTTGAGTATAAGAATTGATGTGCTAGAGTGCGAATTACTTCGGGATCCATTTCCCAAGATATTACTTTCCTTGCAGGAAATCTGTTCGGCTTCTGTGCGCTCAATCCAAGAGTATCACATGGAAGATCGCGACTTTGGTGACATTGGCTACAACTTCCTGGTTGGCGGCGATGGATCGGCTTACGAGGGCCGCGGCTGGAGCAAGATCGGCGCCCACACGAAGGGTCACAACGAGGGCAGCATCTGCATTGCCTTCATTGGGAACTTCCAGAAGAAGAGTCCACCAGAAGATCAGCTGTTGGCGGCCGAGGAGCTGATCGCGTGGGGATTAGAAGAGGGCAAGCTGAGCAAGGATTACAGGCTGTTCGGGCACTTGCAGCTCATCGCGACTGAGAGTCCGGGAGCCGCACTGTATCGCATAATTACAGCGTGGCCTCATTGGTCGTCAGGCGAATAAAATGTGTGGCAAAAAGTCGGCCAATCTGCATAATCCGAGCAAATATTCAATATGTGGGCGTCTGTGCATGGCTCCGAACTAATGCTGAACTCATTTATTATCGCGCTGTGGTCATAGAGTATTAAAATAGATAGCCAGTGTCCGCATGAATGACGAGAAGCACAGAGTTCACGCGAGAAATCTAGCCTGATTGATGGCGCCCGATAATTTATCATCCCATTTAGCTGGACGTGTTGTTTGCCCATTGGCCCGCATCCCGGCGCGCCCGCGCGCTGCCTGGCCCACTCTGGGGGATGCCAGAATGCATTTTTAATACACCATAACAAAAACAACATCACAATTTTCACCATTTCACCCCGCAAACCGGCAGCCGATGACCATTTAAGCGCGCCCGGCAATGCTGGCGCTAATTTATTACTTCTGGCCACATTAACTATGCTGTGTGTGTGCTTTCAAAATGTGTCACTGTCAGCATTTCGAGGGGCGCTACGGAGGGGTTGGGGCTGATGCTATCATCGCAGATAAAATTAACGTTTTGTCTGTCGCTTTTTGGTGCCTCTTTTCCACTCACTCCGGGACATTCTTTTTCATCCGCGCGCGCCAAAGCCATTTTCATGGGCACCAGCGTGACAATTATTAAATTTGTCAACAATATTTTTCCCCACCCCCCGACAAAAAGCCGCGCAAAGAAGGGGCGACAATGCGTTAGATTGATGCACCGAAAAAAAACCTGTCACACGCTTTTCATGACGACTTTAAATGCAGTGCTGAAATTGATCTGGACATTTTGATGCATTTTTCATCCCTTCTCACACTTTCAGTGCTTGCATTAGGAAATTGCGACATTTGAAGCTTCCTGGACGGGTATTGGAATTTAATTAGATATAAATTTGAATTTTCTCCTCACCAATTATCGATTTAATCCATGTCACACACGAGCTTTTATATCTGTTGCTTCCGCAACAGTGCAAAAAAAAAGTACAATGGCAGTTTTTATTAGTAATTTAATTAAAAAGGAAAACCCTCTGCCATTTCGACTGGACGCACAGAGAGAGGGAGGAAAAAGCACAGAGAGTTTCCATTGGAAAATTATTGTCAGTGAGGTAGAAAAAAAAGGAGGATTTTATCGCCTGACATTCCCATCAACTCGCAATCATTACGGACAAAGTGAAATTGATTTTTATTTCTTGTGCGTCCTTCTGGCATCTCTGTCCTCCGCACTTTTCCCAATTTTCCACCATCCGCATGTAATGATAATGATTGAGCTCATAGGGCATAAATACCGATTAAATTGTGAGCTCTGCCAAAGCTCTCCTCGGATTGCTCATGCTGAGCATCTCCCGACTATTTCCCTCGAGATCCGACTAAGGCCGGGCAGTTACTCATCCGAGGCGCGTAGCTTGAGTTCACTTCCTCTCTTGGGTGTGTTTAGTTGGAGGAATTACTGGACCGAAACCAGGGGGAAGTTGATGTGCCACAAATCCGTACATCATGTTCATTCTCGCAGATTTTGTGCAGAATTAGCGATTTTTTCGATTCTTTTACTCTTATCAGCCATTTATCCAAAATAATTTTATAATTGATATTTGAGAGAAAGACATGATTTAAGACGCCAGAAGATTTACTTCTGACATTTGAAGGTAAACAAAAGCACAGTTCGAAAACAAAGTTAAAATCATAGCTTGCAAAATCTGTAAAATAATTTCAAAATGCAAGCTCAAAATCTCTAAAACAGATTAAGATAAGTTTTCCTACTAAAAACTCCCAATGGAACTCAAATTAGCGCACTTTCGATACTTCGTAAGACTTCTGCTGCGCTGTACACCATTTCTGTGTCCTCGACGATGTCCGAATTGCAACACTGAATAACGAAAAAAAAACATCAGGACAAAGTTTAGCCGTTAAATGCCATCACGTGAGTGAATTGCTTTTAATTTAACATCCCCTCGTTTCCAAGCTCATATCTGTCCTTGAGTGGTGAAACTTCAGCACAAAGCAATATCAATAAACCGAACTGGAAGTTTGCTCGCCTCAGCATGTGGAACATGGCGCAATGTCACTACTTGAGCCTCATTCAACATCATTTTCCTCTCGGTACACAAAGTGAGCCAGACAATGGCGAAAAATTATTTATGGAGGCACAAGAGCAGAGCAAAAATAAACATGCTCAACTTTGTTCTTTTTCAAGTACACTCGGCAATTAATTAAAGACCGAACACAAGAGCGCCTCAAATGGGATGTACAAGTGCCACCAGATGCCGCACTCACTCCATCTTGGGCTAATTGTGATAATGCGCGACATTAAAATATACTAATTGTGCAAAAACTTATTCATGAAGTTGGGCATTTATTCTATGCCGTTTTTCACACACTCAACAATCGCTTTTCCGCAGATTTGTGCCGTGTTTCGCTACTTTGTGACACCGTCGCTTTTTTTCCGTGTGACAGCGTCTTAAGCAGATGACTTAATTATTTATGTTTTAATTAGATGAAAGGAATTAGATTAAATTAAATTAATTAGATTGAGTAGAGAATAAAAATTCAAGTCTAAAATACAACATGACTTACCCAAGATCTCAAAATTGAGATGTAAAATGCTAATTTCTTCCCTTTTTTTTCGCTGAGTTCTTTCCTAGAAGATCAAAACGATATCATTTTCATGCGGTTTATGCGAGAGTGAAAGATTGAGAAGCATTTCAATTTGTGAGCTAAAGGGAAATTATTAAGTTTTCATGATGATATTCACAGCTGAAATTCCTGCTCAATCTTCAAGTTGCGCTTCAGTGTAAGTTTTAAACGTGGTGCATGTGAACAATGTGCACTTTCGTCCTCATACTAAATTCACCCTTTACGCCCTTCTGTCAATTTTGCATATGGCGAACGGATGGGCAAAGTTCGGCATCCTTTTAGTGGTGCGGAGAATCTTGCGGCGCGCGAAGGCAACGTGAACATCAAGTTGCCGCGGAGGTGCGGCGATATGATAAAGTTTTGGCAATGGCGAAATGACTGCATGGATGTTATGAATTGTTGCCGTCATGGCATTAGACGTGGAGGCTTGGCTAAATGGGTTAAAGGCAGGAGAATATTTATTTCCCCACCCCCGTGAACTTACCTCGCATAGTTGTCTGACACAACAAGACACAGCCGAAATCTTCCCTTAATTTTCCCACCCACTTCGTCTGCTTCTGTTGCACAACACTCCAACTTTCCCGAGCAACATCTATCAAGAAACTTTCTCCGCGGAATGCTCGGCATTCCTCCTGGTCCGTTCGCATCGGGATGCGCTCAGGAGTTCATTGCAATTTGCATCCTGTGCACCATGTGGTGGAGGAGATTTGATCCAATCTTCCAAAACCGGCAACTTTGCAATTGCCCAGGATTTTGATGTGCCGCCGTCCAATTCAGATTTCGGGCCTTCAAGCGCCACTTTCCAAGTCTCAAAAGTGACTTTCGGGCTAAAGTTTTGCAGTCTCGGGAATAACCTTCCTCGAGATTTCACGTGTAATTTTGTTCGCAAATTGAGTTTCACCACAATGGAATGTGTTTCAATCGGGGTTCTTTTTAGCAGTTGGAATTTGCGCTAAATCAACTAAAATGGACTGAGGGAGGCTAAATATGATGAAAAAGGGCTCCATTCGTCGCGACAAATGGATTTTGTAGCTGAAATTCAGACCTTTCCATCGATACCCCACTTGAGTGGTGATGTCTTTGGAGTGGAGATACAGAAGGGTTAAAGTTCACACCTTTAACGGCCTCTATCTTCGCTGTTTTCCAACCGATTTCGATCATCATTACTTTGAACGAAGTGTGTGCTTGTTCACCATTCTTTTTTAAATGTATTGTGTCCACCTCGAGCGTGAGGAAAAAGCAGAATCAAATGTTATTCTTCTGCTGCACACTGTTAAGCTCACACTTTTGACAATGTCTCTCAGTGTCGGAAAAGCTTATCGAATGCAAAGTTGTGCCATTTCTCTGTCTGCCGAACACAAACAATTGACAGCAGAATATTTTATCGCTCAAATGCGGAAAAATATGCACGAAGCGCGCATTTCTCGACATCTTCGATGGGGTGGTTTGGGGAAGGATTCGTGGTCACACATCACAATAGAGAGCCACAGAGCGCATTGAATTGCCATTGGGAGCCGCGTTTGAGGCACAATATGAATGGAATAACATTGGAAACTGCCAGAGCGACACACAAAGATGTATTTGCGAAAGTTCGACTGCGAAATGATATATGAGACTGTTATGATAAACTGAGAGGAGGTGAAACTATCAATTTTTCATTGTCATATTGTAAGTGAGCGAGAGTCTGTGAGATGGGAAGCAAAAGTATTGTTGCAGAGCCTCCTTCTCCTCTTCCTCCAGAGACGCTTCCTCGTGTATTCCGCTCTTGGTCAACGTCAATTGTCCGCGGACGCAGAAAACAGCAACAGAACACTGGCAAAAATGCTGGGAGAAAAAAATCTCTCTCTTGTCACTTTCACACCCATTAATTTTCATACATTTCATCCATACGCGATATTCTGCAATTTCTGCACTTTTCTAACACTCTTTTTTAAATTCCCCTCCAAATGGGATTTATTGTGAATTTGTCAACTGGATGGATTTCTGAAATTGAATTATCGCCTACAGTTTTATGTGCTTTTAAGCCTGTCAATATACATTTCATGCCAAGCGCCATTATCAGCCCTTGTGGACGCTGAAAAAAGCTCCTCGCACTATTTTTCCATCCCCCTCCTTTTTTCCACTCTGGATTTAGTGTCGGCACTAAGCCCAGATTTAGGGCGCGATGGGAATTAATCTTGGCAGCGCACAATCATCAGTGCGCCGAAAATTGTGCTATTAAGCCCTTGGGCGAAAAAATGCATCGCCGAAAGGGCGCAGGATTGCGGTTGAGGAGAGTTTTAATAGCATTCGAGAGGACAATGCAGCCCAAGTTCCTTTCAAGGAAGCACTATAAGCGCCTTCCTTCTCGCCCGCAACACTGCAAGATCCCAAATGGTGAAGTTAAGCGTGAGCAAA